TACTCCTCTGTGTAGCCTCTCAAGATCATGGTCTGCCTGCCTCTGCCTTCTGGGTGCTGGGATTAAAGGTATGAGCCACCACTGCCCTGCTATTTTTTATTTTATTTGTTTATTTATTTTTATTGCGAGACAGGGTCTTATTCTGTTGTTTAGACTGGTTTTGAACTCTGTTAACTGGGTTGGCCTCAAACTTTTGATGATCCTCCAAGCACAAACTTGTGCACCGCCTCTCTCGTGCAGGGATTAACAGATTTGCATGTTATACAAGGTTTATAGGAGGACGGTTAGGCAGGTGTGCAACTGTGTTAGGAAGGTACATTGGGAAATTAAGCTGCGAAGATGGGTTGGCCAAGGAGTGCCTCTGGAGCATTGTGGCAGTCTTTGTGGCATAATTTAAAATTACGTATTGAGCTGAGTGCAGTGGCACTCACCTTCACACACACACACATACCCCACACAATACCCATGTACATACACCACACCCAGAGCACTAAACACCCATATACCAAAACAAATCAACTAAAAACTAACAATCTGTTGTCTAGAGAAGGACTCTGTGCAGGTGGTATAGTAACGTCCATGCACAGTAAGCCAGGTCTTTATTTCACTATATATATATTTTTCTGCTGTGTTTATTTCTGGTGTGTATGGATGCTTCAGAGCATGTGTGTGGAAGGTCAGACAATAATTTGAATGAATTAGTTTTTTTCCTTCCACCATATGGGTTCCTGAGATTGAACTCAGGTTATTGACTTTTTCCACTAAATTGTCTTACCACCCTGTTTAAATTTGTTGGGGTTTTTTTTTTGTAATATTTATTAGGTAGTGTTCTGCCTGCATGTGTGCCCAGAAGAGGGCACCAGGACTCATTACAGATGGTTGTGAGCCACCATGTCGTTGCCGGGAATTGAACTCAGGACCTCTGGAACAGCAGCCAGTGTTCTGGGCCATCTCTCCAGGCCCCACCCTGTGTAATGTTTATGTATGCGTGTGTATATATGGTAGAGTACATGTGTGTCAAGGAGAACTTCAGGCAGTGTTCCTCCTGTGCTGCTATCTTGTAATCTGTTTTTATTTGTGTATCCTTTCCACAGTGAAGTCAGGACAACTTGGGAGAGTCAGCTGCCTGGATCTACCCTGTGGATCATAAGGCTCGAACTAAGGATGTCAGACTTGGTGGCGGTCGTCTTTACCCACCAAGCAATCTTGCTGGTCCAGCCTTGTTTTGTTTTTGAAGCAGAGTGTCTTACTTTGGTTTCTGTTGCTGTGCTAAAACACCATGACCAAAAGCAACTTGGAAAGGATTCCATTCATTTTAGAGAACACAGCCCATGGGGGAAGCTAAGGCATTCCGGAGAGCATGCGAGCATATACACACACACAAAAACAATTTTTTTTTCTGAGACAGGGTTTCTCTATGTAGCCATGGCTGTCCTACACCTCACTGTGTAGACCAGATTGGCCTTGAACTCAGAGAGATCCACCTAAATTGAGTTGTTTTTTTTTTAGTTTGTATTCCTTTAGGAAGTTAATAGTATCGTGTCTATTGTTTATAGAAGTAAGATATTTACACTGTAATCAAATTACCCTTTTCCTTTAGGAAGTTAATAGCATCGTGTCTATTGTTTTTGGTACTCGGAGAATTGCATGGGCTCACCTTGACCAGAAACCTACAGTGCTGGACTGGCAGCAGACTGAGTGTTGGAAACTAACGAACAGAATATATCCCTCATGTGTCTATCTGGAAGAGGTAAGCAATGACTAGTCCTTGCTCCTTGTTTTATGTGTTGTGCATTCCTACATAGTTTCTTGTACAGTTTAGACTGGCAGTTTCTTTCTTTTTTTTTTTTTTTTTTTTTTTTTGGTTTTTTAGGGACAGGGTTTCTCTGTGGTTTTGGAGCCTGTCCTGGCACTAGCTCTTGTAGACCAGGCTGGTCTCGAACTCACAGAGATCCACCTGCCTCTGCCTCCCAAGTGCTGGGATTAAAGGCGTGCGCCACCACCGCCCGGCTAGACTGGCAGTTTCTAAAGGAATGTAAAAGAAAACGAAAAACAGTGAAGCTGGTCTTTGGGGCAATTTTTTACTCCTATTGTAGCTTTATTATATTGGATTTAAAAAATTTTAGAAACCTTGTCTTTAAATTCAGTCTTTTGTCTCCTTCAAGTGTTAAAAATGTGAAATAGACAGGAATTGCTATTTTGGTGAGTATGATAATAAGAGACTGTATTGAATTCTAGTTGGTATTAATAATAAAAACCCAGAGTCAGACATAGGGGTTAATGCTGAAGATCAGCCAGGCGGTGGTGGCACATGCCTTTAATCCCAGCACTCGGGAGGCAGAGGCTCTGTGAGTTCGAGGCCAGCCTGGTCTACAAGAGCTAGTTAGTTCCAGCACAGGCTCCAAAGTTAGAGATACCCTGTCTTGAAAAACCAAAAAAAAAAGCCGGGCGGTGGTGGCGCACGCCTTTAATCCCAGCACTCGGGAGGCAGAGGCAGGTGGACCTCTGTGAGTTCGAGACCAGCCTGGTCTACAGAGCTAGTTCCAGGACAGGCTCCAAGACCACAGAGAAACCCTGTCTCGAAAAACCAAAAAAAAAAAAAAAAAAAAAAATGCTGAAGCTCAGAGAAGCAGAGCAGCTAGCCACAGTTGACCTCTACCAATGCTTAGATCAAAGGAGGCGATCCTATCTCTATAAATCCTCAGACTGCATCTCTAGACTGCAATGAGCTTCTCCTCCCCCTTATATTCCTCTCTCTACCCAGCCACATCACTCCTGTCTCCACCTCCCTAGTGCTGGGATGAAAGGCGTGTGATCCCATGTGCCTTTGTGTGAGCTCTGCTTGTCTTTTAGACAATTCTGTGTAACCCAAGGTGGCCTTGAATTAACAGAGATCCTCCTGCCTCTGTCTCCCAAGTCCTGGGATTAAAAGTGTGCGCCACCATTCCCGCTACCACCCAGTCCTCTAGTGGCACTCTGATCTTCAGGCAAGCTTATTTTTAAAACACAAAATATCACTCCAATAGGCCTTGGCTAGTGCCAATCCTTCACTCCATCTCAGAACATTTCGGATGGCTGAATCCTGAAGCCAGTACAGATGGTAGGAATGACAGACTGTCAGGACAAGAGCTCATCTTGGCTTCTTCCTTAGAAACTTTTGTTATTTCAGGGTTGTCAGAAATGGGACAAACAGGAAACATAGTTATTTCTGATCTTTTTTTTTTTTTTTTAAGATTTCTTCAGTCATTTCAAAGATGCCTAAAGCAGATCTCTACATTTTGGAAAAATCAGGCCCTTCCATTCAGAATACATCTCTGTTTCCTATACTGCTGCACTATCTTATCACAGAAGCCATGCTGTATGCCTTACTCAACAACACCTTCGCCAAGGATGGCCAGCACCGGGTGCTGAGCATGAATCGGAATGCTGTGGGCAAGTACTTTGACCTGATGATCGGGGACACAAGAACTAGTGGGCGCCAGCTAGTGAAGCAGCTCCTCTCCGAGTCTGTGCTGAAGGAGGAGCCTCGGGTGTTCTTCCCACAGGAGCGAGTAGTGCAGTACAGACAGAAGATCCTGAAGGACACGCACCACATCGAAGAGTTATACGATTCACTGTTACAAGCTGTTGCCTTTCACGAGTTAGCTTTTGGCAGAGGCCCAGAGCGCAGATGTTAATGCACTTGCTCTAGTGTTATATTAATTTATTAAACCAACTGTTCTCATCCTCCATGTTAGTTGAGAAGAAAACATTTTGAGTATATTTTCTATGTTTATAAAATGAGGTTTTTGGTTGTGAAGTAGTAATCATGAGCCAAGACCAAATCAATAAATATTTTATGAAATTTTGTGCCTTCTGTGTTGAAGTTATGCCACCCACATAGCCAAATGTTAGCCCATTTAAAGGCAAGTACCAGGCCATTAATAGCACTTAGGCTTTTCCAGAGGGTCCTAGTTTGGCTCTTACCCCCACTGCAGGTGCTCACAAGTTCAGGTCCAGAGACCTGTGTGTGTGTTTGGTCTCCTTGGGCTCCTGCATATACACTTACACATAGAAAAAAAATAAAGCAACTGTTTAAAAAAATAAATTTAGGATGGGCTATGGTGGCACATGCCTTTAAACCCACTTGGGAGGCAGAGACAGTAACTTCTGGAATTTGGGACGATTGGTCTACAGAGTGAATTCTAGGACAGCCAAGGCTACATAGAGAAACCCTGTCTCAAAAAAAAAAAAAATTAGTAAGAGGAAGAAGAAGCTGAGCGGATGGTTCCACCTGTAACCTCTGCACTCAAGACAAGCAGTAAGGTTGTGTGAGGTCAGTTTGGGACTATAGTGAAATTCTGTCCCAAATTCTCTGCCCTCACCCACCCCCCAAAAAAAGGGGAAAAAAAATCCAGGCGGTCAGGTTGGGGCTGTAGGCTGGTAGTAAACTGCTTGCCTAGGTATGGGAAAAAAAACCTTCTATCAAGCAACAAACTCCACCCAACCATGGGCTAGTTAAGGAGGGAGTCTGGATAACTTGAACAATTTTATGTAATTATTTTATATTGGTTCATCAGTTGTTGATGGTCAGAGTCCCTAATAATAAAACACCTGGCCAACAGCTAAGCAGCTCCAGTAGACACTGCACGGCAACACAGATACAGACATTTGAAAGCTTCAGGACCTGGAGAGATGGCTCAGCAGTTAAGAGCACTTGCTGTCCTTGGAGGGGTCCAGGGTACAGTTCCCAACTCCCACAAGGTAGGCAGCTCACAACCATCCTTACTTAACTCGTTCCAGGGTATCCAATGGCCTCTTCTGGTCTCCTTGAGCACTGCAAGCATGTGGTACACATATGTACATACTGGCAAAACATTATACATGTGAAAAACTAATCTTTAAAAAAAGCTTTGAGTATATTTTCTTGTTTGACAACCTAAGTTATAGCATTTATCTGAATGCATTCAATATAATGTACATTAAGATGATAATAACTTTAAATACCACTTACAGCTTTTAGATTTAACTTTTAATTAGATTAATTTGCTAATTATTCAAAAAAGGTAGGTTGAACAAGAGGTAAAAACATATCTTCACATACATTTGTAAACAGGTATGCACCTATACTTTAAAAAAGTACAAAACTAGGATCCTTAACTTCTGAGTTAAAAAATAATTCATCAAAAAATGTACCTGAATATTACGTTATTATACAAGTATATGTAATATGAAGCAATTTTAAACATACCTGATTATCTGACTGTAAAAATAACATTAAGTAAAATGTGACATTTTAAAATCTTGCCACTAAAGTAAAAATACACAAAAAAGCCCAAAAACCAAACAAACCCCCGAAAACACAAAAACTGATGCCATTCCTGCGCAGTCCCAGGAAGCTGAGAAAGAAGGAACATGTAATTCTGGAAGTAGTTTAGAGGCAGCATAAGCATTATAACCAGACCTTGTCATCTCCAAAACAGGGTGGGAGGGTCTAGCTCAGTGGTGAAGCATCTCTGTAGAATGTACAAGCCATGGTTTGTTCTGTAGCACGGCAAATAATTACAAAAATGAGACTCTGTATGTACTAAGACATAGGACACTTGCTCACAACACAGAAGACCCCGAGTTTATCCTTAGCACCACAAAACTCAAAACCAACTTAAATAGAAACAGCTGCTAGGCATAAACCCCATGGTAGATGCCTTCATTATTTCTTCATCAACAACTTGTCCAGAATAGATAAATTAATGTCATTACATTTATAAAGAAAACATGATATAAAATGTACAATGATTTGGGTTGGTAAAATGCACAAGACTACCTACATGGGGTGATAGGAAAGGTTTATGAAAACTAGAATTCAGAATGCTTTTCTTTGACAACACAGATGATTCATTGATTCAGTGGTAAAACATGTTGGAGGAGGGCACAAGATATAAAAGCAAGAGGAAATACAACCCTTTCCAAAATATTCATAACTTCATTCCTAGCACATTTAAAAATTATTCTGTATGTAACTCTGTTTTATACTGTGTAATGTTTAGGGACCGTAGGCTAGGTGCTTCCTATTTATGGTGGCTCTGATGCTGAAGAGCAGAGGAAAGGAACGAGGAAAGGGAAGACTCCAATGAGCTCAGCACCAACACAGCTTTAGAAATCTACAGATGGTTTACACACAGAGAAAGCATACCAACCAAGCGAAAACAGGTAATACAAAACATTCAGAAAAAAATATGACAATCATATATACAGTTTGTAACCCAATTTTTTTCATTTTAAATAGTTGAACCACAAAAATACAAAGTTTTAAAATTTACATTAAGAGAAATAATCTCTTCTTTAAAGTTACCATATTCTAGTGTGTTTTAAGGACCACATCATCTGTACAGGACATTGAAGACGAGGAGCATCAAGGGAAGTCTGCGGCCAAAGCAGTCACAGCCTCTTCTGGGATATCAAGATGAATTCCTTCAAAGTAGTGCAGAAACCTGTCAAAATCATAAAAACAATTTATTTTTTTTTTTTCTTTTTTTTTTTTTTTTTTTTTTAAAATTTATTTATTATGTATACAATATTCTGCCTGTATCCCTGAAGGCCAGAAGAGGGCGCCAGACCTCTTTACAGATGGTTGTGAGCCACCATGTGGTTACTGGGAATTGAACTCAGGACCTTTGGAAGAGCAGGCAATGCTCTTAACCACTGAGCCATCTCTCCAGCCCCCATAAAAACAATTTAATAGCAGTATTTTCATTACCATGAACATATTTATTAGTCTTGACATATCTACCTAAAACAGTACTTTTTTTTTAGACATTTACCTTCTTTTATTTCTCCCTTGTTCCTTTAGCTTCTCTGTCCGACAAATGTTCCGAAGAGTTGGTAGGTAGTCAGTTACACTAGCTTTACTACCCACACTCGGAAGAGACCGACTGGAAAGCACTCTTTTAATGACTGCCATCCTCTTGTCAGCATTGCTACGAATTAAGAGAAAGGATTTTTTTTTGTGTGTGTTTGTACATAAAAATGTAACAACCCCAAATTTAGCTAGTGTTTCTGCTTCTGGTCTAGACCAAATGACACTTCTAATTTGCTGTCAACAGCATCAGTCACTCTATATGCCCAGACTGGCCTAGAACTCTACATAGCTCAGCCAGACTTCAAAATCAGTCTCCTACCTGAGTCTCTGAGTGCTGGGATTAATCTTGCATCACCACATTCATCTCCATATTGACCTTTTGTTTACAGATAGGATCTCATGTAGCTGGGGCTGGCTTCAAACTCTTGATCCTTTTGCATCCACCTCCCAAATGCTCTGATTACCAACATGTGCCACCATGCCTAGTGTCACATCTTTTATATATATACTTATTTATATACATGTGTGTGTGTAGTGTCACATATCTTATGGCGACCTTTTACCTGTCACAACTCTGAACTCTTCTGATACCTACCAGTTTCCCCCCATTTTTTTTTCTTCTGATACAAGGTTTCTCTTTGTAGCCTTGGCTGTCCTTGAACTCTGATATCCACCTGCCTCTGCCTCTGGAGTATTGGGATTAAAGTCATGCACCACCGCACTCACTCATTCAAGCTAGTTATCTTAGTAATCTCAATGTATATGAGAAGCTATATTAACACTAAGTGTTCCCCATGATCAATAGCCCAGAATTTTACATTAGTAAGAAGAACCCCTGCCACTGATTACTGACAAAACAGAAGGTAACAAATAAAACTTACTCCAGATTAGCTGCCGACTGGCGGAAGCACACATCACTGCACCTTTGTGAAACACAGAACGTGAGCTCATTGACTGCATCTCTTCCTAAGTGCTTGCATGAATTCAAGGACTCCAGTGCTTTTGAAATGGTAGAAGAACATTTAGTAAAGCTGAGAGCTTCTGCCGTTGCTTTTAATTCTTCAGATCTCTGAGGACCCCACCCATCTCTACTCTCAATACTAAACTCATCACAAAGTCCACTTTTAACCTTTCCGCTTGTCCAGCAAAAAGGCTTTCTACCCAGTTCATTCTGTTCCCCTGCATCTCTTAGAACGGCATCTAAGAAGGACATGTTCTCCATGAATTCAGCGAGAGAATTTAAACAGTGAGAAACGAGCACAGAACACTTCTTCTCTGCTGGTGTCTTAGGAGGTCGAGGCACAGAGTCAGATGTAAAACCTTTGTTATGTGTCTGTGTCTCTTGGTTGCCTTCTCTGTCTCTGCTTGTGAGGTCTTCTAAAGCTGAGGAAGGAACAGGAGATAAGCTAGTCAATTCATCAGAAAAGTCCAGTCCGGTGTCAAATAAGTCACTGTCATCTAGGGTCACCATCTTTTTCTGCTTCCTTTTCTGTGATTTTTTTAATGACTGATCTTCTGACTTCATCCTGGGAAGATTGTCCATGCTTCCTGGTGCACTGGCCTCTGTAGTCACCGGAATGACTTCTGGAATGACAGTGACTGGCAATGGCAAGATGAATTCAAGATTACTAAATAATAGATCTATGTTTTGCATGTGGAATTCAGTGAGGAGCTGGATGAATTTATGCCATTCTTCCTTGGTTGTGATCTTGTGCTAGAAAGCAATTTTGAATAAAGAGATGTTTTAAGAACCTAGTTTAGACACATTCCCACCCTTAGGAATACAGACTTGTCCCTATGTATCTCTATCTTTTATCTATTTTTTAAAAGATTTATTTTATTTATTTATTTTATGTATATAAGTGCTCTATCTGCATGTATGTCTGCAAAACCAGAAGAGGGCATTACCATGTGGCTGCTGGGAATTGAACTCAGGATCTCTGTAAGAGCAGCCAGTGCTCTTAACAGCTGAGCCATCTCTCCAGCCCTTCATACTATACTTTTAAAGCTATGTCTATGCACCATTTATCAACACAATCAAATGAGTTAAAATCTCATATCTAACATCTAGAAAATGTTATGTATATTTTAAGTTGAACCAATATTCAAAACACAGGTATTATTGTATGGTGAAGCCTGGTAAGATAGACAGGAACATGAATTCAATATTTCACACAGATATGGAAAATACCTTTAAAAATGAAATTAAGTCTTGAGATGGGGAGGCAATGTTTTTGAGTCCAAACAAAGCCTCTGCACAGCCGGTGTCACATTTGGGGAGGGCTATACGGTTCCTTCTGCTGCTTTTAGAGTTAATTTTTGGATCACTGCCATCTTCAGAGCAAACTGGTATATTTCTGCTATTTCCTTCTAAAAAATTAATAAAGACAAATCTTAGATGAATTTATCTTAAATGGACTGTATGAAAGAACGCACAAATTCGAAGACATGTTCCTGCCTGACACCACCTGACCTTCACTCTATGTTGTTCTCCACACATGTGCTCCCTCATTACAATGTAGTCCATTACTTGAAAAATACTTACGTGAAATGATTCGAGCCTATCTTTTATTTATTTATTATTTGATGTTTACACCAGAGCTTTATTGTTTAACTGAGGCAGGCCTCACATTTGCAATGTAGGCAAGAATAACCTTGAACTTTCTTGTGTGTGTTTGGTGGCCAAACACATTTCAGGTATCATTCCTTTGGTATCCAACCTTGAACATCTGACTCTACTGTCTGAGGGACAGCGCCATCACATACATCTACCAGGACATTTTTCCCATGTTTTATTATCACATTGATCTTTTGAGAGCTTGTTAAAGTTGCCAGCTTACACTGAATAAAAAATATGGCTCGGTCTATTTTGAAAAACAATGTTTAAATTTTTAACTAATTAAAGAGAAAAATGACAAGGAATTAATGTTTAAAATTTCATATTACTTTAAAATTTTTCTTTTATTGTCTATTCCCTTTGGTTTTATGTGACTATGTGCAGAGCAAATATCCCAACAGAACTATGACTGCAGAAGGGCACACACAAACTAGCAACTTCCCCTGGGAAAAAGCATGGCTGACGGGTCCTAAATACAGGATCTGGAATGGAGAAAGTAACAATAATTGCTTGTGCCGGGGCTGGAGAGATGGCTCAGTGGTTAAGAGCATTGCCTGCTCTTCCAAAGATCCTGAGTTCAATTCCCAGCAACCACATGGTGGCTCACAACCATCTGTAATGGGGTCTGGTGCCCTCTTCTGGCCTGCGGGCATACACACAAACAGAATATTGTATATATAATAAATAGATATTTTAAAAAAATAATTGCTTGTGCCATTATCAGGTCACAACAATAACTTAAGAGTAGTAGAAACTAAAAATATTCATGTGAGAAAAAAAAATTTCTAAAACCAAGTTCTTAGGAAAATTAGAATTATAAACTATTAAATATAATACAAAGAAATACAAGCTGGGTGTGGCTGCACATGCCTAGGCTATATGTGATCCTGTCTAAAAACAGGGCCAGTGAGAAGAACTTGCTGCTAAACTGACAACCTGAGTTCAGCGCCCCCTCCATCCCCCGCCAGGGTAGAAGAGAACTGACTGCTACATGTTGTCCTCTGATCTCCACACCACCAATAAATAAATAAATGTGTACATGTAATTTAAAAGATAAAAACAGAGCTGGGTGGCGGTGGCACACATCTTTAATCTCAGCACCAGGGAGGAAGAGGCAGGCAGATCTCTGTGAGTTGTAGGCCAGCCGGGTCTACAGAGTGAGTTCCAGGACAGCTAGGGCTACACAAAGAAAACCTGTCTTGCAAAACCAAAACAAACAAACAAGTAAGTAAATGAAATAAAAAAGCAAGCTGGTGGTGGCGGCAGTGCGCACCTTTAATCCCAGCACTCAGGAGGCAGAGGCAGGTGGATCTCTGTGAGTTCAAGCCAGCATGGTCTACAAAGCAGGTTCCAGAAAAGCCAGGGCTGTTATACAGAGAAACGCTGCCTTGAAAAACCAAATAAATAAAAATAAAATACAATAAAAACCAAAACAAAGGGCTAGAGAGATGGCTCAGTAGGTAAAGTGCTTGCAAGCATGAGGACCTAAGTTTCTAAGTCCAGCACACACATTAAAAAAACTCTAGGGGAGATTGAAGAAATCACAGGTGCACGCAAACATGCATATTCCACTCTCACAGACAAAAGATACGAATAACCCCTGCCTCAGGAATTTACACTTAAATACAATCACAAAAAAAGAATGAGATACAGCTATCCCAGTACAAAGGTCACTAATATATTTTGTTTGCTTTGATCAAGGTACTGTCTCCTATAGTCTAGGCTGAACTCAATGTAGCCAAAGATGACCTTTACCTCTTGATCCTCCTGCCTCATCTCCCAAGTGTAAGGAATACAGAAATATGACACCACAGCTGGCATTAAGTATGTTTTTTATAAGGGAAAGAAGGAAGTTGCTAAGTGGTAACTATAGTTCTGTAAGAAACTCTATGTCCATAAATGTACATGCAATAGTTTGGAGTGTTTTTGAGATGGGTCTAATGCAGTCCAGGCTACTCTAAACTTACTATGGAGACAAGGATGACCCTCAACTCTTCATCCTCTGGTCTCCATCCCCCAAGTACTGTCAGAACTAATCTCATATTGACTTCTGAAGCTACTGAGAGCTTAAGAAGCGTGATTTAAAAAAAAAAGTCTAAGGACTGTAGTGGGTATTTCTCTTTTGTTGCTGAGAGACTGCAGAACTAGGGTCACAGACAAGTAACACAATACTGGCCTTGAAAAACCTTTTTTCCCCTCTTGTATTTTTGTGAGTTCTATCCATTTGCACTTTTCTGTTGCTTTGTTTTTTGGGAGAAGATGTTATAAAGCCCAGCCTGTCCTTGAGTTTATTCTAAAGACAAGCAAGGCCTTGAATTTATGATCCTCTTGCCTCTGCCTCCAGAATGCTAAGATTACAGGTGTGAAATACCACACCTGACTGTTTACTTACACTCAATGTTTTTATTTTTTAAAAAATATTTAATTATTTATTAAGTATACAGTATTCTGTCTGCTTGTATGCCTGCAGGCCAGAAGAGGGCATCAGACCTTATTTCAGATGATTGTGAGCCACCATGTAATTGTTGGGACTCAGGACCTTTGGAAGAGCAGGCAAAGCTCTTAACCACTGAGCCATCTCCCCAGCCCCACTTAATGTTTTAAAAACCAGCATAGCTAGCCACTTAATTTAAAAACTGTTAGAGTATATATTTAAGAATGTGGTCCTGCCAGGCGGTGGTGGAGCATGCCTTTAATCTCAGCACTCAGGAGGCAGAGGTAGACAGATCTCTGTGAGTTCGAGGCCAGCCTGGTCTACAAGAGCTAGTTCCAGGACAGGCTCCAAGCTACAGAGAAACCCTGCCTTGAAAAAAAAAAACAAAACAAAAAAAACAAAACAAAACAAAAAAAAAAACCAAACCAAACACCAAAAAAAAAAAAAAAATGTGGTCCTGTAATAGAACATTTTTTCGTGACAGACTATTGACAGACTACTTACGACAATATAATAATGGTCTTTCTTTTAAAATTCCACCTCCACTTCTAATCCAAAACTGTAAGTAAAGGATACTTTTTCTGATGTCACAGTCATTTGCAGTCAACAAGGTTACAAAGTCTTTTAAGTCGGTTCTGAAATTCTCAACTAAACAGATCACTTGTAGATAGCTGGCAACGTTAAGCTAAAAATCAGAAAACAAGATGTGGGAGATATAAAGACATGGTTAGTTACATAACTGGCAGAAATGGAGTAATAATGAATATTGATGAAGAATAGTTAAAAGCCAAAATATCTTAAAACTTTTTGAGAATAAAATTTCTCTAGAAAATACAGGAGAATATACCATCAAATTAAAAACATATATATATATTCTTGTGTTCACTGTATATAGTTCAGGACAGCAACAACAAAAACTGTGTTTGTGTGTTTAAGAAAGAATCTTATACAAACCAGGCTGGTCTTGAACCTCTGATTCTCCTGGCTCCACTTCCCAAATGTAAAGATTACCTGCATTGTTATTGTTTTAAGCAGGACCTTCCTACATAGCCCAGGCTGACCTCAAACTTAGGATCCTCCTGAGTCTGCCTGTTGGATGCTGGGATTACAGGTATGTAACCACCACATTCAGCCTGGCAAGGAAACTTCAAAATTCTCTAAACTGAACACAACAGACAGTTTTATAGAGCTGGATTAAGTAATGATACACTTGATAGGATTTTTAAAAAATTTATTCTCCCCAACCTTTCTTAAATTTTGAGCCAGAGCCTCTCTACATAGCCCTGGATGTCCTGGTACTGCCTCTGTAAACCAAGATTAGCTCCAACTCACAAAGATCCACCTGCTTTTGTCTCCCAAGTTCTGGGAACAAGACAAACCTAGTCGCTTAACATGATATTTTATAGCCATTAGAATTATAAATATTGGGATGGAGAGATAACTCAGTGGTTAAGAGAACAGGATGGTCTTCCAGAGGCCCCGAGTTCAATTCCCAGCAACCACATGGTGGCTTACAACCATGTGTAATGAGATCTGGTGCCCTTTCTGGCCTGTAGGCATACATGCAGGCAGAACACTGTATATATAATAAATAAATAAATCTAAAAAATAAAAATAAGTTGGGCGGTGGAGGCACATGCCTTTAATCCCAGCACTTGGGACGCAGAGGCGGGCAGAGGCAGGTGGATCTTTTGAGTTGAAGGCCAGCCTGGTTTACAAGAGCTAGTTTCAGGACAGGCTCCAAAGCTATAGAGAAACCCTGTCTCAAACAAACAAACAAACAAAAATAAAAAAAGAGAACCAAGCAGGAGGCGGAGGCAGGTAGATCTCTGTGTGTTCGAGGCCAGCCTGGTCTACAAAGAGCGTTCCAGGACAGTCAGGGCTACACATAGAAACCCTGCCTCAAAAAACAAAAACAAAACAAATCAAAAACCCCCCAAAATAGAAAAATTATAAATATTATAATAATACTAAAATATACGTTTCTAAATTTAAAATAAAAATCAGTAACTATCAAGTTCACAGACGCATGTGTTTGCAAATATAAAACAGAGGGGGCAATGTTAAATATCTAATGTATAAGAACTTAATGGCTAGCAACTTTCATTTATTTATTTATTTATTTATTTATTTATTTATTTATTTATTATGTATGCAATATTTTGTCTACATGTATTCCTGCAGGCCAGAAGAAGGCACCAGACCTCATTACAGATGGTTGTGAGCCACCATGTGGTTGCTGGGAATTGAACTCAGGACCTTTGGAAGAGCAGGCAATGCTCTTAACCGCTGAGCCATCTCTCCAGCCCCAACTTTCTTTCATTTTATCAGAATTCCAGTATGGCACTTTTCTTTCTTCAGACAGAGTCTTGCTATATAGCCAGGCTGACTATGCAACCTTATTTAGTCTTATGCTGGCAATCCTTCAATGTCAGTCTCCCAAGTGCTAAAATCATAAAGCATTTCCTGTCGTGTGTGTGTGTGTGTGTGTGTGTGTATGAAACCTGTGCCACATGCAACTAGTGCAATATTCAGGAGTAACAGAAAACACAACTTAAATCATGCATTTCTCTCTTTCTTTCTTTCTCTTTTTCTTTCTTTCTTTTCTCAAACTTAAACACTTTAACATTTTCCTTTAAAAAGCACATTTTAAAAATATAAATTTTTTACATAATTGCGGTACATATAATCTGTGATCATGAAAATTCAAAACTTACCAGGGAAGGAATATTGAAATTGATTTCTTCAAAGCAGCCATCAAACACTAAACTAAATGTGGGATCTATAGAAAAATGACATAATGTTATTAAAAATAAATGAGATCACTACATAACTTTTCCCGGTTATACTTTTTTATTACAATATCTAGCATTTCATTGGTAATTAAAGGACAGGAGTTGACTCAGTGGCTATAGTGCATTCTGCTCTTGCAGCAGGCTGGTTAGTTCTCAGCACCCACATCAGACAGCTCACAACTGCCTGTAACTCCAGCTCCAGGAGATCTGATACTTCGGGTCTTCAGGGGCTAGGGGCTGCACATGGCTCCTCTGTAAGAGCTATGAGTGCTCTTAACTACGAGCCAACTCCTCAGGTCCTAACATTTACAATCGTTAATAAGTGTTTTAATTGTTCTCTCGGTAATTGTTAATTTCTTACTATGACTAGGTTACAAGCGTTCTAAGTATGTATGTATAGGGCAAAAGGTATATATACAGTTTGCCCTATTTAAGATGTCAAGCATCCATGGGGGTGGTTTCAAAGTATCCCTTAGATGAAGGAAGACTACAGTATCATGCAAATGACAACTCTTGAAGAAACTTTCTATTTTGATGTAACGTAATTATGACCTTTAATTAAAATATCACCTAACTTATGATTATTAAATTGTTTTGTTTTGGTTTTTTTTGAGACAGGGTTTCTCAGTATAGCCTTAGTGCCTGATTGTTTTTACTTGTTTTAACACAGGATTTGGCTATGTAGCACTAACTGACCTGTAATTCATTGTAGACATCAAGTCAGCCTCAAATCTGTGGGGATTCTCCTGTCTCTGCCTCCTGAGTACTAGGATTATAGACCACATTATGCTTTGTTTTGAAGAGGAAAAACAAATCTTTTTGGTTTGTTTACTTTATGTGTTTGAGTGTTTTGCCTGCATGCATGTCAGTGTCCCAAGTGAATGTCTGGTGCCTGAAGAGGCCCGAAGAGGACATTAAATTTCCTGGAACTTGAGTTACAGACAGTAGAAGCTGCCATGTGGGTGCTGGGAATAAACCCAGGTTCTCTGCAAGAATAATAAGTGCTCTTAACCAGTGAGCTATCTTTCCAGTATGTAGTGATGAGCTGTGGGCAGGCCTGCTTTTCGTCCCCCCCCCCCCCCCCGGCTCCCGCATGGTTAGCTTTACACCCAAAATAACAACACACAAATTGTATTCTTTTAAATACTGCCTGGCCCGTTAGTTCTAGCCTCTTATCAGCTAATTCTCACATTTTGATTAACTCATTTCTAATAATCTGTGTAGCACCACAAGGTGGTGGCTTACTGGGAAAGATTCAGCATGTCTGACCTGGCAGCTATATGTGCCCTCACTTCCCTTCTTCCCAGCATTCTGTTCTGTCTACTCCACCCACCTATGTTCTGACCTATCAGGCCAAACAGTTTCTTTATTAAGTAACCAATGAAAGCAACAGATAGACAGATGACCTTCCCACATCACCAGTAATCCCAATTTGTTTTAAAATATCATTTACTATTATTGTATGTGTATGTTTTGTGTGGGGGTGTATACATAAGCATTTAGAAACAACAGGTCAACCCTGTGGAACTGGTTCTCTACTTCTACCTTTATGTGGGTTCCAGGCATCAAACTCAGATCAATAGACTTATTTGGAAAGGGCCTGCACCTGCTGAGCCATCGCCTTAGCCCACACATACTTTACTTCAACAAAAAATAAGCTGTACTGAAATTATTGTTACATACCACTTGTGGTAAGAACTACTGGCCGTTTAGTTGTCGCCATGAATGTTTTGACTGCATTCAAAAACCCAGCATCTTCATCAAAAATGACATCAACCTACAAGTCATTCATTACAATATTAATATAGTAAGAGTAACAATATACTTGTTCAGATCAGTTATAGAGATACACAATAGACATACTATGTCAGAGTCAACACTAATTTTTTTCAAAAATATGAATTAAGCTCATGTTGAAAATTTTATGTTCTTATATTTTTTTGTTTGTTTGGTTCTTGTGTAGGGTTTTACTGGCTGTCCTGGATCTTACTATGTAGACCACTGCCTCCTGAGTGCTGAGATTAAAGGTGTGCACCACCGCTGACTGGTGAAAAGTTTATGTCTTATACCATAAACAAACTTTTTTTTTAAAGGTTTATTTATGTATGTGAGTGTTCTACCTGCATGTACACCTCTATGCCAGAAGAGGGCATCAGAACCTACTATAGATGGTTGTGAGCCACCATGTGGGTGCTGGAAATTGAACTCAGGACCTCTGGAAGAGCAGCCAATGGTCTTAACTACTGAGCCATCTCTCCAGTCCCCAAACTTTTAAGATGGTAACATAATAAACATTAAAACTAAATAAAAGCCAGGCAGTGGTAGTGCAGCCTTTAATCCCAGTCCTCGGGAGGCAGAGACAAGCAGATCTCTGTGAGTTTGAAGCCAACCTGGTCTACAGAGTGAGTTCCAGGACAGCCAGCGCTGTTACACATAAAACCTGTCACCCATCTCAAAAAAACAGCAAGAAAACAAACAAACAACAACAACAACAACAAAAACCCCAAGCAAACAAAAAAACTAAATAAAACAACCACCAGTAACTGGGTAGATGAGCCACAAGTACTTCTACAGTTGTTAAAAAAAAAAAAAAAATCAATAGCCTTGCAGGGTAGTGGTTCCCAGCACTCGGGAAACAGAGGCAGGAAGATCACTGTTAGTTCAAGGCCAGTCTAGTCTACAGCATGAGTTCCAGGACAGGCTCCAAAGCTACAAAGAGAAACCCCGTCTCAGGGGAAAAAAACAAACAAATAAGTATTCTTGAATTATGTTAATCATTTTGAAATTATTCTAGACAGAGCTGGAGAGATGGCTTAGTAGTTAAGAGCATTAGTTGCTCTTTCTGAGGATCTGGGTTTGATTCCTAGCACCCAATTAGCAGCTCACATTTATCTGTTACTCCAGTTCCAGGGGACCCAACACCCTCCCCTCTGGCCTGCTAGGGTGGTGCACAGACATACAGAAAGGTATAACATCCAGATACATAAAATAAAATAATACAAAGAAAATGTTACAAAAATCCAAACAAACAAACAAACAACAAAATAAAGGTCTGGAGGGATGGCTCAGAAGTTAAGAGTACTGGTTGCTCTTTTAGAAGTCCTGAGTTCAATTCCCAGCAACCACATTGTGGCTCACAACCATCTATAATGAGATCTCAAGTTCTCTTTTGGCATGCAGGCAAAACACTGTACACATAATAAATAAATCTTTAAAATTAAAAAGCAATTAACATTCTTTAGAAATAAATATTATTCTAAAGTTGGATTCATTATTTTATAACTCCTTATAAGAAAACACATAGTAATCTTTAAAATAAGTTCCCACTATGAGACCTCACCCATGCATGCCCCTGCAAGCCTACCTCCTCAAAGAGAATGAGAGATGTTGCATTCTTCCTATTGGATTCCTCAGCTCCAAATTCTTTAACATTTGAATTATTTGCATTTGTTGATTTAGTCTGAATGATTTGCCTCTGTTCCAAAGAAGCATTTTTGATTCCTGCAAAAATACAATGTTAATATTTTAGGTAAAACTCACTTTTTTTCCTTTCTTTTTTTAAAAATTTATTTATTTATCGTGTATACAGTATTCTGCCTACATTCATGCAGGCACCAGATCTCATTACAGATGGTTGTGAGCCACCATGTGGTTGCTGGGAATTGAACTCTGGACCTTTAGAGGAGTAGGCAGTGCTCTTAACCACTAAGCCATCTCTCCAGTCCTTTTCCTTCCTTCCTTCCTTCCTTCCTTCCTTTCTATTTTTTTTTTTTTTTTTTGGTTTTTCGAGACAGGGTTTCTCTGTGGCTTTGGAGCCTGTCCTGGAACTAGCTCTGTAGACCAGACTGGTCTCGAACTCACAGAGATCCGCCTGCCTCTGCCTCACGAGTGCTGGGATTAAAGGCGTGCGCCACCATCGCCCGGCTTCCTTTCTATTTTTTGACAGGGTTTTATTGTGTAAACCAAGCTGCCTCTGCTTCCAAAATGCTGGGATTAAAGGTATGCACCACCACACCTGGCAAAACTCAACTTTTCAGCCGGGCGGTGGTGGCGCATGCCTTTAATCCCAGCACTCGGGAGGCAGAGGCAGGCGGATCTCTGTGAGTTCGAGACTAGCCTGGTCTACAAGAGCTAGTTCCAGGACAGGCTCCAAAACCACAGAGAAACCCTGTCTCGAAAAACAACAACAACAAAAAAAAAACACAAAAAACCAAAAAAAAAAAAAAACCCTCAACTTTTCTTTCTTTCTTTCTTTCTTTTTTTTTTTTTTTTTTCGGTTTTCGAGACAGGGTTTCTCTGTAGTTTTGGAGCCTGTCCTGGAACTAGCTCTGTAGACCAGGCTGGCCTCGAACTCACAGAGATCCGCCTGCCTCTGCCTCCCGAGTGCTGGGATTAAAGGCGTGCGCCACCACCACCCGGCAACCCTCAACTTTTCAAAAGCACTAGATATACCCACAAACTGAACTCCCATACCAAATCTTACTCAATAGTAACGCTTCTATACTTAGGACCATTAGCATGACTGAGGCTTAATAAATAGCAGAGGATCACATGAAATGCACAGTGTCATGTATCAAGGTTAATTTACTTTGTTAACTTAATAATTTACCTTTATTATTTCCCAGGAGTACTCCTACTTCTTCATTATTTTTGGATTTGGAGGATACTTTAAAGTAATTTGCCAAAGTTTTAGGGGGAAACGCTCGCTTTTGCCCACTTCCTTTTGGTGATGATGGAGGAAGCTTTCTTGGTGATGTAACAACTTTCCCAGGGGAGTTTAATTTTTCTATGAAAAACAAATTACATTTAAGAACACTCTAAAATTATACTTATGGCAAGATAAAATTATCCAGTTTATTTATACTCTTACATGATAAAAAACAAAAGCAGACTTTTTTCATTCTAACATGCAAATATTCTATACAGACATTATTATTGTATTATATGTATTCTAACAGAATGACAGAACATAGCAACAAAAGATGCTCTTTTCCAAAGATATACACTTTCCTCTGATTGACTGTTTGAAAGTCTTTCTATGGTACTCAGAAAGGACCCAAGCTTTTGAGCCTCTGTAGGGTGTGGAGGAAGCCCTGAGTAAGTGAAGTCCTGAATAAATGTGTATTGCAGACATGGTCATAGACATGTTAAGGATCCCAGAGCCTCAGACCTCTGGAAAAATGGCACCCACCCCCCAGGCTCAGAGTGACTGAGCCCTGGTTATTTTTGTTCCCTCTGTATCCATGGATCTTACCCCTTGTATATAGGGGGTGTTTAGTAAACAGAATAAGAATTTTGAGTTTAAAAAAGTTATTAACACTATATTTTTATTAAAAACAGGACAGTCTGAGGCTGAAAGAAGGCTCAGCAATTAAGAGCACTTGCTGCTTTTCCAAAGGACCTGGGTTAAATTCCCAGCACCCATATAATGGCTTACAACTATCTACAACGCCAATTCCAAGGAATCCAATGCCTTCTTCTGGTCTCTGTGGGAACTAGGCACACACACACAGGTAAAATACACATATAAAATTAAATAAATAAGTAGGGCATTTTAATTACATAGGTAAGAGATGTAAGATCTTTCTTTCTTTCTTTTTTTTTTTTTTTTTTTGGTTTTTCGAAACAGGGTTTCTCTGTAGCTTTGGAGCCTATGCTGGAACTAGCTCTTGTAGATTAGGCTGGCCTCGAACTCACAAAGCTCCACCTGTCTCTGCCTCCTGAGTGCTGGGATTAAAGGTGTGTGCCACCACCGCCCAACTGTAGCTAGTACTCTTAACTGCTAAGCCATCTTTCCAACCCTGCTTCTTTGTTTTTATGAGACAGTTTCTTACTCAGCAACCAACAGCACCTTTGAATGCATAGCAGTCCTCCAGCTCAGCCTCTTAGATGCTCATATTCCAGGTGTGAGCCACCATGCCTGGCATGATATGCTGTCTTGAATTTCAAAATACTCAAATTGAAATTAAAAAAATAATTTCCAAAACTTTTCCAACAGAAGAATCACCTCCAACCAATTCTGAGTATAGGGCAACTTAGCACACAGAAAGCAAGGAAATACAGTGATCCCTGAGGCCACATAAGAGGACACGGAGCAACTGAAATAGTTCCTTGCCAGTCAAAGAGGGGAGTATATATAAAAACACCAGAAGAAAAAAAGAGATGTGGCTGGGCGGTGGTGGCACATGCCTTTAATCCCAGCAATCAGGAGGCAGAGGCAGGCGGATCTCTGTAAATTCGAGGCCAGCCTAGACTACAAGAGCTAGTTCCAGGACAGGCTCCAAAGCTGCAGAGAAACCCTGTTAAAAAAAAAAAAGTGTGATTCTGGTCATAGCAAGATAAGAGGATTTGAGACTGAATTAATTCTCCATCTAAAACAATAACAACAAAAAATAGACATACTCTGTGAAAGATTTTTTTGTTTTTGACTACCATTCATCAAAGGACAGTGATTCCCGAGGGGAGAAGACACAAAGAAGTAAACATAAAAACTGCCTAGCTTATTACTTTGAGAGAATTCACAAGCCACAGTGGGGAAGAAAAAACCCAGAACAAATTTTCCTAACTCAAGGAGACAACGGCAGGGGATGAGGAAATCTAGGGAAACAGAGCCCAGAGGAGAGAATACACAGATTTAGAGAGCTGAGGAGAGTGCTCTGAGATCTGCCAAGTGTAAAATCAAGTTCTCATGAAGGAAGGGCCATGGGAAACAAATTCTGAGACACACAGAAATTTAGGAACAGGGCTGGAGAGAGATGGCTCAGCGGTTAAGAGCACACTGCCTGTTCTTCCAGAGGTCCTGAGTTCAATTCCTAGCAACCACTTGATGGCTCACAACCATCTGTAATGAGGTCTGGTGCCTTCTTCTGGCCTGAAAGCATACATGCAGGCAGGACCCTGTGTACATAATAAATAAATTTCAAAAAAAAATTTAGGAACAGCAAATTCATCCTTTTCTTATTTCTTTTGTTTTATTTTTGTTTTAGAGATAAGGTTTCAGTATCTAGACCTGGATGGCCTAGAAGTCACTATGTAAACCAAGTTGGCCTCAAATTCACAGTTATCCACCTGCCTCCCAAGTGTTGAAATTAAAAGCATGTGCCATCATGTTTGGCTGAATTCATTCTTTTCACTGGACAGAACAACAAACATCATCACTGGTGAGAGATTAGCAAGGATGCTGCTCAGAAGCAGTACCAAGTAGAGGAGCTGAATCAGTTCAGGTCTAATTGCTGCTATGATCTTGCCTAAAGTAATTTAGCGGACCTGAAATGAACAAACTTAGAACAAAGGTCAAGGACAGTTTCAGCAGAGAGGAGTATCCAGTGACAAGCCAGGTAGTAGTGGCGCAAATGTTTAATCCCAGCACTTGGGAGGCAGAGGCAGGTGGATCTATGTGAGTTTGAGGCCAGCCTGGTCTACAAGAGCTAGTTCCAGGACAGGCTCCAAAAAAACCACAGAGAAACCCTGTCTCGAAAAACAAACAAAAAAAAAAAAAAAAAAAAAAACAAAAGAAAGAAAGAAAGAAAAGTACTATCCACTATTTAACAAGATATAAACTGTACAAAGTCTGACAGGCAATTAAAAGTATCAGCCTGCTGGGTTGAGGTGGCATACACCTTTAATCCCAGCACTTGGGAGGCAGAGGCAGGTGGATCACTGTGAGTTTGAGGCCAGCCTGGTCTGTAAGAGCTAGTTCCAGGACAGCTAGGGCTGTTACACAGAGAAACCCTATCTCAAAAACAAATTAAAAAAAAAAGTGTATCAGAGATCACTCAGTGGTAAGGAGCATTTAATGCTTTTATAGAAGACCCAGGTTCAGTTCCCAACATCCCTATCAGCAATTCAGAGCTGCCTATAACTGTAAAGTTCTGGGGATCAAATCCCTTGTGGCCTCTGCAGACACTGAATGTGCATGGTGTGAAAAAACTAATGCAGACACACATATATACACTAAAATACAAATATATCTTAAAGAAAGCATCAGACAATCAGGCATCAAAAGAAGCAGAAGAATATAACCCATAAGACAGGAAAAACTGAAAACTAACTCAGAAAATATACAGATGACAGAAATATGGACAAGAACATTGAGACAGCTATAATCACATGATCAAATATTTACAGGAAAATAGGGCATAATTGGAAACACAGAAGGATGAAAAAAAGACCCACATGAAACTTCTGGAAATGAAAACTATGCTGATGGCACCGAAAGTATCTTAGATACTGCAGAATATATCCACAAACTGGAATATATGCAATAACTATTCAAATTGAGATGCAAAGAGGTAACAACTGAGAAATAAATGAATCATCAGTAAGCAGCAAGACATCTTCCATTAGACAAAGATAATCAATGGCTGTACAGTAACATTAAAGATATGACAGAGAGCTTTATCATGAGTGAGATAGAATAAAAGAAAATACTTGAATTCATTCACTCATCAATCACAAGTCATGGAACAGGTCTTCTTTCATGATGTCATAGAGAGAACGAGCTCCCCCATTCCTGTATTTCAGTCATACCAGAGAAACAAATCTATTATAGTCCGTAACCAGCGGCTTATAAGAAATGTAGGGAAGGAGACTATGGGTGACTAATACCATGAGAATACACTTAGAAGTCAAATCCATAGTGTGACAGGGACGCAGTTCTTCAGCACATAAATGACAGGAATATGTTACTTACTTGGTGACTTGCCAATGTTGTAGTTATTAAAGAAGCAGGGCTTTTGGGAGTTTACACCTTGTTTATCTACTTGATGGGACTGGGTAGCTTCCTTCAGCTGAGACAGGATTTGTCTACCACTTCTCTGGGAAGAGGCATTTACTTCAAATATCTAAAAAAAGAATATGTATTTTTAAAAGGCAAATCTTATCTTTATTTCCTTTCATCTTTTCAAGACAGGGTCTCACACAGTAGCCTAGGTTGGGCTCAAATGCAAAATACAAAGCACTTCTGCCTCAGCCCTCGGTTTCCTGAGTGTTAGGATTAAAAGTGTGAACCATCACACCTGCTTTCTCCTCTGCAGCTGGCTGTCCTAGTGGGAGTGTGTGCACGTGGAGGCCAGAGGATGACCTTGGGTGTCCTCAATCTCTCCCCACCTTGTTTCTTAAGAAACAAGGGTCTTTTGATCCCTGGTGATGGAGCACACTTGTAATCCTAGCACTGAAGAAGGCAGAAGCAGGTGAATCTCTGAGTTCTGAGTCAGCCTTGTCTACACAGAAACCCTGTCTCAACCAAAACAAAAAAAGAAGGGGAGGAAGGAAGGAAGGAAGGAAGGAAGGAAAAAAGGGGCTTTTGGTGAACCTGATATTCATGACTAGTGAGGCCAGCTGATATGCTCCATCAATCTGCCTGACTGTTCCTCCCCAGCCCTGGGACAACAGATTTGCACTGCTTAGCAGCTTGTCACAGGTGCTGGGGAATATGAACTTAGTCCTCAAGCACCTTTTCAACTGAGTCATCTTCCCATCACCTTTTTCTCCTTTTTGAAACAGGGCATTAGCCAGGTAGTGGTGGCACATGCCTTTAATCCCAGAGGCAGGAGGATCTCTGTGAGTTCAAAGCCAGCCTAGTCTACAAAGCGAGTTCCAAGCAGCCAGGACTGTTTCACAGAGAAACCCTGTCTCGAAAAACCAAAAAAGAAAAGAAAAGAAAAGAAACAGGGCTTCATTAACACAGGCTGGCTTTGGATTTCTGCTTCACCAGTTTAATGCTGGAACTACAAGAACACTGGCAAGTTTATTTTTCTGTTCTTATTTGAATATTCATTGTAGTTAACTGACCTTAAATCCAAGCTCCTGGGCACAAGCATACACAGCAGCAGTTTTTCCCACTCCTGTTGGGCCTGTTATCAGAACAGTGTTGCAAAGATGACACTCTTCATCATCTGAACTGCCTTTAAAGTCTGTATCCCATGAATCTGGAAAATTATTCAAACACAAATAAAATGATTAATTGCTTAGGTAGCTCTTATTCCTCATGAAACACAGCAATGATTTAAATCCCACAGATTTCCTGCCAATAAATACTATAAAATGAATTCTCAAGAATAAAAAAATATCAAATATGAAATATACGAATCCTTAATTTATGCAAATTTCAGCTAATCTAACTCTAAAAATGTCCAATGAATAAAAAAACAAAAAAAACTATAATTCAAAATACCTTCCTGTTTTTCATCTCTTTTTCCTTTCAAATTTTGTCTTTCTTCCAGTTCAGCTCTTCTTTTCCAGTCCTTTAACCAACTGTCATAAAAGAAATGAGTTAATACAAATAATTTAAACTGCTGGGCAGTGGTGGAATATTTATTTAATCCCAGCACTCAGGAGACAGAGGCAGATGGAGTTCTGTGAGTTTGAGGCTAGCCTATCCCACAAAGCAAGTTCTAGGACAGCTAGAGCTGACACAGAGAAACCCTGTCTTGAAAAACAAACAAAAATTAAAAAAAAAAAAAGAAGAAGAAGAACAACAACAACAACTCAGGCTGTCAGGCACCTTTACCCACTGAGTCATCATGATGATCCCTAGAGGTTTATTTTTTTGAGACAGGCTCTGGCTATGTTATTGACCTTGAACTCAAAATAATTCTCTTTCCTCAGCTTCACATGTACTAGGATTACAGGAGTACACCCGAGGATGTCAGGCTCTGGAAAGGCAATTTTGTTTGGAGACATTATATAGCTCTGGCTATCCTGGAACTCACTGTTTAGACCAGACTTTCCTTGCATTTACAGGAGATCCACCTGCCTCCCAATTGTTGGGATTAAAGACGCATACCACTATGCCCAGCTTTTGGAAAAGTAATTTGAAATCCTAAGAATGACCACTAAAGACACAGTATAATGAACCTTACAAAGCCAGTCAATTTTAGCTTTGGAACTGCAGACCTGAATTAATAGTAACACAACCCTGCTGGTTAGAAAGCAAGAATTGCTGGGTGGTGGTGGCACACGCCTTTATTCCCAGTACTAGTGAGGCAGAAGCAGATGGATCTCTGTGAGCTGGAGGCCAGTCTGGTCTACAGAGCTAGTTCTAGGACAGCCAAGGCTACACAAAGAAAACAAAAACAAACAAAATGTATAATTGTCGCCGGGCGGTGGTGGCGCACGCCTTTAATCCCAGCACTCGGGAGGCAGAGGCAGGCGGATCTCTGTGAGTTCGAGGCCAGCCTGGTCTACAAGAGCTAGTGCCAGGACAGGCTCCAAAGCTACAGAGAAACCCTGTCTCGAAAAACTAAAAAAAAAAAAAAAAAAAAAATGTATAATTGTCTCAAAAAACAAACAAAAATGTATAACTTAATATGTACCTATGATTTTTTTTAAAAAAATAAGAGTATCATGTAATCCAAGAAACCTAAAACTTGCTATGTAGTTCAAACTGGCATTTAATGGTCCTCTTGCATCCATCTCTAGACTGCTGAAATTACAGGTGTCAAAATCATGACCAGCAAATATAAATTTGTCTGAAAAGTTTAATGCAATAGTTTCAATAGTGGTAACAGAAATAAAAAGAACTTTTTTTTTTTTTGGAAACAGGGTTTTTCAAAACAACCTTAGCTGTCCTGGAACACAATCTGTAGACAGACTGGCCTTGAACTCACAGATATTTACCTGCCTCTGCTTCTCTAGTGCTGCCCTAGTACACCATCAAGCCAAAAAGAGAAACTTTTTACTTGAAATTATTTCAAAAAAAGACTTTTCCATATAATATAATTACTTGGTAGTTTTCAAATTTTAGTCTAAATAGCAAAATTACATCAATAAACTATTTCTTAATTCCTTTACAAATTTTACCAACCTATATAACTTTTTGATAGCTAACTCATTGCCTATGAGTTCACCCGAAGTCTGAGGCTGGTACTTTTCTGTCCAAAGCATGTCTTCAGCTCCAGAATCTAAAGCAAGAATAAGTATACATAGGCATTATTCATTCTTTGACATAAGAAAACATTCTTAGATATTTATTTTATTACAAGTGTAATAAAAACATCTATAGAAATAACTATTTATAAGATGCAAAAATGAATTTTTTAAACATTACATTTAAAATTTGTCATACCAAACTCAATCACCTTTAAAAAAACAACACATGCACACACAAAATAACCAGCTGCACACCTTTAATCTCAGCAATCGTGAGGCAGAGGCATGTAGATCTCCAAATACGAGACTAATCTTGTCTACATAATGAATTCCAGGCCAGCCCATGCTACAAAATGAGACCCTGTCTCAAATAAATAAATTAGAAGACAATTAAAAACAGAGTAATGTATGTGCATCACAACCTTTAATAACTACATTTTAAATAACCATATTTGATAATATGAACGATTAAGAATAGCGTGTAGTACAGAAACCAGTAAGCTAGCTAAAGAACAAAAGCAGTCTCTGATCTATGAAGCCAATCTGAATAAAGAGACAAAGACTACACTTCTAACAGAAGATTCCCAAGATGGCAATTCTCACCAAACTAATATGCCAACCAATGAAAACTCAAAATCTCAATGGGATTTATAAAGGTGAGAAAATTTATAGGATACTTAAAAAAGTCAATTCATAAAAATATCCCTCATGGTAGGTGATGGGGCTGGAGAGATGGCTCTCTGGACGCTAAGAGTACTGGCTGCTCTTCCAGAGGACCCAAGGTTCTTCTCACATCCACATGATGGTTCACAATTATCTAACTCCAGTTCCAGGAGATCCAATGCCCTCTTCTGGCCTTTGCAAGCACCATCTACACATGTGGTGTACAGATATACATGCAGGAAAAACACCCATGCACATAAAATAAAATAAGAATTTTGCCAGGTGGTGGTGGCGCACGCCTTTAATCCCAGCACTCGGGAGGCAGAAGCAGGGGGATCTTTGGGAGTTAGAGGTCAGGCTGGTCTACAAGAGCTAGTTCCAGGACAGGCTCCAAAAGCTACAGAGAAACCCTGCCTCGAAAAAAAAAAAAGTAATAATAATAATTTCTTTTAATAAAATGGTAGGTGACATGCCATATCAAATATTAAAACATTCCATAAATTGTATATAAAATAGATGAGATCAGCCCCACTGAAATGGTGGGGCTGATCTAACGGGAGCTCACCAAGGCCAGTTGGACTGGGACTGAAAAAGCATGGGATAAAACTGGACTCTCTGAACATGGCGGACAATGAGGGCTGATGAGAAGCCAAGGACAATGGCACTGGGTTTTGATCCTACTGCATGTACTGGCTTTGTGGGAGCCTAGCCTGTTTGGATGCTCACCTTCCTAGACCTGGATGGAGGGGGGAGGACCTTGGACTTCCCACAGGACAGGGAACCCTGACTGCTCTTAGGACTGGAGAGGGAGGGGGAGGAGATTGGGGGGTGCGGAGTGGGGGGGGAGGGAGAGGGAAAAGGGAGGCGGGGTGGAGGCGGAAATTTTTAATTAAAAAAATGTAAAAAAAAATAGATGAATTAAATCAACACAATAGAATCTAGTGTGGTAGTATATATGTCTTTAATCCCAACACTCAGAAGGCAGAGGCAAAAGGATCTATGAATTTGAGGCCAGCCTTGCCTTCAGAGTGAGTACCAGGACAGCCAGTGCAGACAAAAACCCTGCCTCAATAAACAAAAAATGAGCTGGGTGGTGACTTTTAATCTCAGCCCTTGGGAGTTAGAGGCAGGTGGATCTCCAAGAGTTCAAGGCCAGCCTGGTCCACAGAGCAAGTTCCAGGACTGGCTACTTAGCTACTGAGAAACCCTTTCTCAAAACAAAAACATCACCAAAAAAAAAAAAAAAACTGGGAGGTGTGGCGCACGCCTTTTAATACAAGCACTCATAGAGAGGCAGAGATGGATGTCTGTGAGTTTGAGGCCAAGCCTAGTCTATAGAGTGAGTTCCAGGACAGCCAAGGTTACACAGAGAAACCCTGCCTTGAAAAATAAAAAACAAACAAAAAAATTAAGAAACAAAAAATAACAACAAAATTAACTCAATAGAGTATTTTGCACAAGATGTGTGGACGTGTGTGTGTATACATATATGCTGAATAGGAATGTGTAGAAAGGCAAAATATACTGAAAAACAATATAAATAGTATGATTACAGGAAACAAGTTTCCCTCCCTCCCTCCCTTCCTTCATTTCCTTCTATAGGTCTGGGGATTGACCTACCACTGTGCCATAGCCTCAGAAACAGTTCCCACTATGTTTCTCAGTCTGGCCTTCAACTCAAGGCTATTGCACAGGTAAGACTTTAAACCTGTAATCCTTCTGACTCGGTTCCTAAGTACCTTGGATCATTGGCCTGCATTACCAGTCCTGGCTGATCTCTGGCTTAAAAAAACAGACCCTAAGTAGAAGGAAAGTGTGGTGGATGCCAACAATCCGAATACTCATGAGTTCAAGGCCAGTCAGGGATACACAACAGGACCTTCTGTATAAAAACAAAAAAGCACATATATTTATAGAGGAACTGTAACCATAAATTAAACACCAAGATGCGAATATGCTTCTGTGTCAGCTAAGAGTTGTTTGAGAGGCTGAGACAGAAGAGTAAGTTCAAGGCCATCAGAAGGTGTTTAAATTGTTTAAAAATGGGGAGAATGACAGGTTATGGGTTCACAGTGTGGCTTAGTAGATACAATATATGCCTAGCATGCACTAAAGCCTGGGTTCAATCCCCAGAAATATGCCTAAATATGGCATGCTTAAAATCCTTACACTTGGTAGGTTGAGGCAGGAAGCTTAAGGTAATCTTTGTTTGAAATTAGCCTGGGCTACATTAGACTGTCTCAAAATGGGACGACATTGAGAGGTTAAAAATCAGGTGTTCAAAGATGAGGGGGAAAAAATACAATTTGTCAGGAGAGTGTTTCTGCTACTACTGACTCTGTCATCATCTACTATCAGAATATCATTATCTTCTACTGTTTCTGTCTTGATTTTACATGTTCTTTTTTTTTTCTTAAACATTTTTTAAAATATTTATTTATTTAATTATTTTGTATGCTTCTGCCTGCAGGCCAGAAGAGGGCACCAGACCTCATTACAGATGGTTGTGAGCCATCATGTGGTTGCTGGGAATTGAACTCAGGACCTTTGGAAAAGCAGGCAATGCTCTTAACCGCTGAGCCATCTCTCCAGCCCCCGGTTTTACATGCTCTTAAAGCAATTCACTTCTTCCCTGAGATATTCAGAAATATACCTTTGGAAGAATCAAGATTTATCCCAGAAGAGCTGATCCTTTTGTCAAGATCTTCTGACTTCTCCTGTATCTTTTCTGGGCTCAATGAATGTTCATTTGGTTTCTTTCTTTTTGACTTTTGATTTCCTGTTTCCACACATTTCCTTTTGCTTTCTTTTTGACTGACATGAAGCTGTAGTTGTAGACTTGCTATTTTGGGAATTAAAAGAAATAGATGTGCTTACTAATCAACAAAAACAATTTTCAATACCCAATAATCTTCCTATTCCTTACAAATATCCTACAGTCTTACAACATTAAGATGAAAACCTTAATTAATATTTAGACTGCCTTCTGTAAGAGATGCGTAAGTTATAATGACCTCATTTAAGGCTTCATTAATGAGTGATTAGCATTCTAGCATAACTAGATCTGCCAGGATTGGGATCTCTGGAAGTTAGCAGAAGCAAACACTACACTGCATGCCTAATCAATCTCCCTTGTAACAGTTGTCTGTGCTAACCACTTCTAAGCGGCAAAGGCTAGGTCTTCATCTTTTCAAAACTCAAATGTAAGCCAGATGGTGGTGGTGCAGGCCTTTAATCCCAGGATTCAGGAGGCAGAGGCAGGCTGATCCAAAGTGAGCTCCAGTACAGCCAAAGCTACATAAAAAAAGTGTCTTAACAAAACAAAACAAACATAAACATAAAAAGAGACAAAACTCAAGTGTAGACATAAAAGACAATGATTATCACTAACCTTGTTTACCATGACCCTCAGAAAGTACCTGGTGCTCAATTCGTTTTTTTAGGAGCAAGGGAAAATATTTTCCTAAAGAAAATTCAGGATTTGACCACTTTATTTCCTCCAGCAAAAGATTTCTTACTTCTTTAGTAAAATCGTTCCTTGTCTTCATCGACTGCAATGAAGAACAAGATGAGCAATAACAAGTCCATACCATCTATGACCTTAGCCACAACACTACCAAAAGCTTCTTGCCTAGAAAGTCACTATCAATGTAGCTTAGCTTTGGAAGAACCTAATATATATTTAGCAAATACTTTGTAATAACAAAGTATTTAAATGTGCTGTATAACCTAATATTATGTTAAAATTGCCTTTTATTCTATTTTTTCTTAAAGGTAGTATCTTGCCAGGCATGGCGGTATACATCTTTAATCCCAGAGGCAGGTGAATTTCTGTGAGTCTGAGGTCAGCTTGGTCTACATTGTGAGCTCCATGCCAGACAATGCAACAATGAAGTTGAAACACTTTCTCAAAATTAAATAAAAATAAAGACAAGATTTCAGTATAGCCCAGACTGGCCTTAAATTCATCATCTTCATGCCTTAGCCTTCCAATGATTGATTTATAGTCATGTATCCACATGCCTGGCTCTATTATTAATTATCCTGATGGGTTTTTTCTTTTTCTTTGAGACAGGATTTTTCTGTGTAGCCCTAGCTGTCCTGAACTCACTCTGTAGAGCAGGTTGGCCTTGAACTCAGAGATCGGCCTGCCTCTGCCTCCCTGAGTGCTGGGATTAAAGGCATGTGCTACCATCGCCCAACAATTATTCTGATGCTTTTTTTTTAAAGCTCTTTGAGGGGCCAGAGAGATGCCTCAGTGGTTAGTGACACTCTGCTGTTCTTTCAGAGGACCTGGCTTCAGTTCCCAGCACAGCATTAGGTGACTCACAACTACCTGTTAACTCCAGTTCTAGGGCATGCCATGCCCTCTTCTGGTCTCTGTGAGCAGCTGTACATACATGGTATGCATACATGCCCTCAGGAACATTAAATATATATATATATATATATATATATATTTTATTTTTATTTATTTATTTTTTTTAAAAAGCTCTGAGACAGGGTTTCTCTGTTCTGGAACTAGCTCTGTTAGACTAAACTGGCCTCGAACTCAGAAATCCTTCTGCCTCTGCCTTGAGTGCTGAGATTAAAGGTGTAAGCCACCACTGCCTGGCTGAGAATATGTATTTCAACTAGATTTATTTTTAAAACTAGAGCCTAAGAAAGAAGAACCCCCTAGGCTAAACAGCTGAGTATTTTCTTCTGAAAGCCAGGACAAAATAACCCATGTAATCATGGATAGTTACTGTGAACTTACCACAACAGCTGAATTATTTCTTGGATTTGAATTCAATGTTGAAAATTCACCAAGAGCAACAACACATTTTGAGAGATCTGTTACTTTAGTATTCAGTTTTTTAAATTCAGTTAATAGAGGACAAGAAGGTGGCTTCAAATGCCATAACCAATACCCTAAAAAAACACAGAAATATCCTAATTTATCCACCATTTATGGACTATCAAGCATGCAAACATGAAAAGGCCTGACAAATCTCATGAGACTATGAATACAATTCCCAGCAAATACCAATCAACAAAAGCAAAACGCCAGCAAGCAAACAAACCAAAGTAGCTACATAGTTCTAACAAAAATATCAAATACCCAAGTGAATACAGAGTGAACAAAGTACACAGCTCAGCCGCGCCATGGTACACTCCTACAATTCTAACACTTGAGAGGCTGACACAGGGCTGAGAGCACAAGACTTACCTAAGCTTCATAGCAAAACCGCCACCAAAAAACAATTAATAAAAATTACCTCTTCTTCTTTTTAATTTGTCAAAAATGAGCAAATACCAGCAAGCTCATTTCTTTTTAAATCAACATTAATATGTAGGTTAAAAAACCAAGGTACTATTTAGCATTCTGATTTAGAGTCTAAGGTTTTAATTTTTGTTTGTTTGTTGTTAATCCTGCTTATTTTTAGACAGAGTCTCACTATGAAGTCCAGGCTGATACTAACCTGCTATGTACCTGACAGGCCATGAACTACAGACTGTCAGACCCAGCCTCACAGGAAGCCCAAGTTTAAACATTAAAACAGTATTCATTCAAGGTCCCTTACAGCAGGAATGCAAGGATGGCATAAGGGATGAAATAAAACTCCCTTTTCCTTCTTTGCTCTGCATGGGAGCATAATCAGTAAATGATTCCAGGGATTAGGGAAAAAAAGATAAAATATACTTGTAATCACTAAAATCACCATCAAAATACCATAAAACCAGAAAGCCTACCCCATTTTCTTCTTTTTAAAATTTTTTATTTATTGCTGGGTGGTGGTGGCGCCTTTAATAATCCCAGGACTCGGGAGGCAGATCTCTATGACGTCGAGGCCGCCTGGTCTAAAAGTGAGCTCTGAGAAAGTCAAGGCTACATAAAAAAACCCTGTCTCAAGAAATAAAATACAAACAAAAAATTTATTTTTTTTTAAGACAGGATCTCATAATGTAGCTCTAGTTGGCCTGGAACATGCTATGTAGATGAGGCTAGCCTTGAACTCAGAGTTTCTCCTGTTTCTTCCTCCTAAATGCTGGGATTATTTATTTGCATGAGTGTGTCTGTTCACATGTATGTGTAGTACATGTGTACAGGTGCTCACTGAGGACAGAGAAGGATTTTCCCTTCCTGAATGCAATAAGCCCTATCCCCTGGAGCTGGAGTTACAGGTGGATATGAGCCTCCATGTGGGTGCTGGGACTCAGACCCAGATCCTCTGCAAGAGCAATAGGTGTTGCTAACCACTGAGTCATTCCTTCAACTCTTTCTTTTTTTAAAAAAACAGTCTCACTATAGCCCAGAATGGCCCCAAACTCTTAATACTCCTGTTGTCAGCCTCCAAGTGTTAGGATAACAGGTGTGTGCCACTCTCCTTAAGATTTAGCCTCACTTTTACCTTTTGTGGTGCTGAGGATCAAACCCCTGGCTCCCATATGCAAGCAGGTATCCTATCAACCAGGGACATCCACAGGTCCCTTTTTTTGTTTTGTTTTGTTTTTCGAGACAGGTTTCTTTATAGCTCTGGCTGTCCTAGAACTCACTCTGTAAACCAGGCTGGCCTCTAACTCACAGAGATCCTGCCTCTGGCTCCCAAGTGCTGGGATTAAATGTGTGCACCACCACCACCCAGTCAGCACCCCCCACCCCTTTTTAAACAATTCCTTACATAGCATCAGATTTCTTCTCACAGGGTAAGAATAAATACTTAGCAGGTATGGGCTCATGTCTACAATCCCAACACTCAGGAGGCTAAAGCAGAAGTACTGCTAAATTTCAGGCCCAGGATACATAAATTCAAGGACAGACTGGGTTATAGAATAAGACCCTGGCTCAAAAATAATTTGAGGTCAGTTTGGTCTTTGTAGTCAGTCCCAGGCCAGTCAAGCTACAGAGAGAGACCCTGTCTAAACAAAGGGACAAAAACATAAAAACACAATAAACACACTTACCATCATCCTTCTGTTGCACATGAACAACCCTCTGGAAACTGGTACTCGCGGCATTGTATGCATCTAGTGCAGCAGCTTTCTTTGCAATCTGTCGTTTCAGTAAATCTGGCAAACCACTCATCAGAAAATCACGCTTTGCTTTAAATTGTATATCACAATCCTGAGTTTGTTCTGATGAATCTTGACTTTGAAGAAAATTTAAAAGAATAAAAGCAAAAGTTAGAAGCATCTAAAGGAATATATTGACAACCTGAGTTCAATTTTCAAGGACCCACAACGTGGAAAGAATCAAGTCCCACAAATTGTTTTCGGATCTCCACATGCATGCTATGGTACGTGTGTTTATACAAATGTTAGTAAATAAACAGATGTAATAAAAAAATTTAAATAGCCAGGTGTAGTGATGCATGCCTTGAATCCCAGCTGTCAGGAGGCCAAGGCAGGTGGATCAAGTCTACATAGTAGGTTCCAGGATAGTCAGAGTTACACAATGAGACCCTGTCTCAAAATAAATAAATAAAGCAAAATAAAATGAAGAAGAATAAACTATTTAGGGCCAGAGCAAGGCTCAGCAGGTAAAGATATTTGCTACCAAGAGTGATGAACTGAATTCAATCCCCAGGACCAACATGGTTGTAGTGAAAAACCAAATCTCTGCCCTACACACACATACCACACACACAAATTAGTAAATAAATAAATGCAAAAAATTAAAGAACAATTATTCTCTAGAAAATTATCTAGAAAATAAACATTTTAAAATTTTATTTTCAAGCTAGTGAGATGGCTCACTGTAAAAGTATTTGCCCCACCAGCCTGACTGAGTTCCATCCTTGGAACCCACATAGAAGAAAGAATCAACTCACAAGTTCTCTGACCTTCACACCCATGCCAACATATGAATGTACCAGCACAGTCAGGCATGCATACACACAAAATACACACATACAAAATTAAATCTAAAAAAACTTCAAAATTAAACACACCCAATAAATTAGCTGGTAAAATTCTTTTTGCTTATCTACTCATGCTAGAAAATTAAATAAGACAAATATGTATACATTAAAAAAAACTGTCTTAAAAGACACCCACCAAAATGCTAACTGGGACTCTCACCAGGTGGGAGTTTTCTTCCTTGTCCCTGTTTGGTGTAGGGATAGAAAGAAAACTCAGGGCTGTACTATGATGCAGGCACTCTACCTGTGAACTACATTCCCAGCACGAGGGTGGTTGTTGTTGTTAAATAAGAATTTATCTTGCAATTAGAAAAACTTAGCCGTCTGTGGAATATTATTTTAACTGGGCAAAGACATGTTACATTTGTCTATGCTACGGAATATACTTTCACTGTGTAAAGGTGTGTTACTCTGTTTTTGCTGCGTTTGTTTAATTATGTAAAGATGTGTTGCATTTGTTTCACTGGACTGTCTAACTAAGGCACCTGACTGGTCTAATAGAAGTTGAACAGCCAACAGCTAGGGAAGAGAAAGGATACGCAGGGCTGTCAGGCAGAGAGAATGAATAGGAGGAGAAATCTAGGCTGGAGAGGGAAGAAAACAAGAAAGAAGAAAATGCAGAGAAAGAGAAGGACACACCTGGGGCAAGAAGTCCGACACGGGAAGCAGTGAAAGTGAGATATACGGAAGGAAAGAAAAGCTCCGTGCATGTTAGACAAGGTACTCTACCAACCTGTATCCAGCTCTTTATGCAGTCATAAGACTCACCTAGAAGGCACACTGAACTTCCACAACCCAAATCTGTTTACCCATATATTCATGCCTAAACCCTTCATGTATTTGTATCACTCTTAGCGAGTTCTTTAGTCTGGCACCTATCTCTCCAGTTAATCTCCCATTCTCTCCTGCTCTGGAACTCAAGTCACTCTAGCATCCTTCCTTTCCATCACTGGTGCTGAGCACATTCCTTACAGCCTCCGGGACTCTGCACACATAGTTCCCTTTGGCTAGAACACTAGCCTCCCCTTGGTGAGCTGCTGCTTTTCCTTCAGAGGTCAGGGAAATGACCAAACATCTCTTTAATATAAACTAATAAAATTTTGTGGGGCTGGAGAGATGGCTCAGTGGTTAAGAGCATTGCCTGCTCTTCCAAAGGTCCTGAGTTCAATTCCCAGCAACCACATGGTGGCTCACAACCATCTGTAATGAGGTCTGGTGCCCTTTTCTGGTCTGCAGACATACACACAGACAGAATATTGTATATATACTAAATAAATAAATATTAAAAAAAAATTGTGACCTTCCTTAGCACAATGTCAGTTTTTCATTTGTTAAGCCAGTTAATGTTTAATTATAGACTGTATTTCCCCTAGGAGACTATATAATCCTCATGAGGACAGGCACTGTGTTTTCCTTAACATTCCTAGTGCCAAAAATAGTGCCTAGTAAATTGTAGACATTATATTAAATAAAGGTCATGAACAAAGTTTGATAGTCTGGGCTGTTCTTTTCTTTTTAATTATGCTGCTACTTTATATGAAATATTCCCAAAGCTTTTTTTTTAATATGATGTTCTTTTTTTTAAATATTTATTTATTTATTATGTATACAGTATACAATATTCTGTCTGTGTGTATGTCTGCAGACCAGAAGAGGGCAGCAGACCTCATTACAGACGGTTGTGAGCCACCATGTGGTTGCCGGGAATTGAACTCATGACCTTTGGAAGAGCAGGCAATGCTCTTAACCACTGAGCCATCTCTCCAGCCCCTATTCCCAAACCTTTTACAAAAACCTAAGACCTTCGCCAGTAGTGTAAGCATTATCAATATATTTTAAAACTTAATCAGAAAGCTGGGAAGAGGACTCAGGTGGGTCAAGCACTAGCCATGAAATTGTGTAGACTGAAGCTCGATGCTCTCAGTACCCACATAGAAGGTGGGTGATGGGTGACAGGAAGATTCCTGTTTCCTGTCTCTGATCTCCATTTACACAAACATGAACAATTAATTATACACAAGTACATAAACACACATATGAGCAGATATCCACGAATATGCTATATAAACATACTACATATATATGCACATGCAAAATAAAAATATTTCAAATGGTCATTGACATCTAATTAAACAAATAAATACACATTGTATTCCATAAAATATTAAATGTTTATATATCTATATTGGACTGACCTGCTATCATCCAAATCAAGGACAGGAATGGCTGTTCGTTTAGTCTTTTTGGCAAGAAATAAAGGAGCGATTTTCATTTTTCCTTAGAAAAATCAATACTTGGGTTAGTATTACATGTTTAGCATCTCCACTTACCTTAAGTTATCTTTAAAAATTTTTAGAAAGCTTACTTTTTATTTATAAGAATGCTATTTAATAATGTTTCATCCACTTGGTAATATTGGAATCCCCTGGGCAACTTTCATTTTTAGCTGCAGAATTCCATAATTCACATTTTAAAGTTTTGCTCAATATGTCTAGGGAAATGCCCAAAGATTTTAAATGACTTTTTTATCTTTATTTTATGTACATTTGGTATGAAGGTGTCAGATTCCCTGGAACTGGAGTTACAGATGGTTGTAAGGTGTCATGCAGGTGCTGGGAATTGAACACACAGCCTCTGGGAGAGCAGTCAGTGCTCTTAACTGCTGAGCCATCTCTCCAGCCCCCATTTTAAATGTTTTGATGTTAAAAATTAACAAGCAAGCCTGGCAGTGGCTGAGCACGCATTTAACCCCACCACTTGGGAGGCAGAGACAAATGGATCTCTGTGAGTTTGAGGCCAGCCTGGTCTAGTGTCAGGACAGGCTTCAAAAGCTACAAAGAAACCCTGTCTTGAAAACAAACAAACAAACAAACAAAAAACATAGCAGGGGCTGGGGAAAGAGCTTAGACTTAAGAGCACACAGAGTTCTTCCAGAGGACCTGAGTTGGGTAACCAACACCCTACAGTGGAAGGCTCACAAATTTCTCCAATTCCAGCTGCAGGGAAAGAGGCTCTCTTTGGGTTTCTTTGTCACCACACCCAAGCAGCACACATACACAGACACAAACACACATGATAAAAATAAAAATAAACTTGGACAAGGTCAGGCACACCTTTAACCCCAGTTCCTAGAAGGCAGAGGCAGGTCGATTTCTAAGTTCAAGACTAGCCTGGTCTACATAGTGAGTTCCAGACCAGACAGGATTGTGCAATGAGACCCTGTCTCAATAAATAGTTGGGACTAGAGAGATGGTTCAGTGGTTAGGAACACTGGCTGCGGGCTGTAGAGATGGCTCAGAGGTTAAGAGCACTAACTGCTCTTCCAGAGATCCTGAGTTCAATTCCCAGCAACCACATGGTGGCTCACAACCATCTATAATGAGATCTGATGCCCTCTTCTGGCATGCAGGCATACATGGAGGCAGAATGTTATATACATATTAATAAATCTCTAAAAACAAACAAACAAACAAACAAAACAAAACACTGGCTGCTCTTCCAGAGGTCCTGAGTTCAATTCCCAGTCACAGCCATCTATAAAAGGATCTGATGCCCATTTCTGGCATGCAGTTGTACAAGCACTCATATACATACAACACATAAATAAATCTTTAAAAATAAATAAGCCGGGCAGTAGTGGCGCACGCCTTTAATCCCAGCACTCAGGAGGCAGAGGCAGGTGAATCTCTGTGAGTTGGTGGTCAGCCTGGTCTACAAGAGCTAGTTCCAGGACAGGCTACAAGGCTATAGAAAAACCCTGTCTCGGGCTGGAGAAATGGCTCAGTGGTTAAGAGCATTGCCTGCTCTTCCAAAGGTCTTGAGTTCAATTCCCGGCAACCACATGGTGGCTCACAACCATCTGTAATGAGGTCTGGTGCCCTCTTCTGACCTACAGATATACACACAGACAGAATATTGTATACATAATAAATAAATAAATAAATTTTAAAAAAAGAAAGAAAAACCCTGTCTCAAAAAAACAAAAAACAAAATAAATAAATAAATAGTTAAAAAATAAATCTTATTTAAAAATTTGGGGGCTGTACAGAGGGCTCAGTAGTAGAGCCTGACAAACCAGGTTTTATCCCTGAAGCTCATGTATAAGCTGTAAGTGGAAGGTGAAGACTCACACCTTAAATTACCTTACACCCTCACATGGGAACACACAAATCAATAAATTTAAAAAAAAAAAAAAAAAGCGCCAGGCAGTGGTGGTCCATGCCTTTAATCCCAGCACTTGGGAGACAGAGGCAGGTGGATCTCTGAGTTGCAGGCTAGCCTGGTCTACAGAGTTAGTTCTAGGACAGCCAAGGCTACAGAGAGCAACCCTGTCTCTAAATAAATAAATAAATACCAATATTAATAATAGTAACAAGGAAATGGTTTCTTGGTTTAGTTTGCTTTGGTTTTTTTGAGACAGGGTCTCTCTGTTATCCTGGAACTCGCTGTGTAGACCAGGCTGTACTGGAATTCAGAGATCTGCCTACCGAGTAGTGGGATTAAACGCATGTGCCACCACACCTAGCTATAAGGAAGTGTTTTAATTAACTCAGAAAAAAATTCGTAGTCAAGTTTGTGAGCTGCTAAGTATATATATAGAAGTACAATAATTTAAAATATGTGCCCAAACAGTGTTTAAAAATATGATGCTCGCCTGTAATCCGAGCACTCGGGAGGCAGAGGTAGGCAGATCTTTGTGAGTTCAAGGCCAGCCTGGTCTACAAGAGCTAGTTCCAGGACAGGCTCCAAAGCTACAGAGAAATCTGTCTCGGGGAAAAAAAAAAATATGATGCTCAAGTTTTCTTTGAAAAACTTACTCAAAATGGAAATACTTAGGCAGGGAAGGTGGCACACACTATAATCCCAGCACTTAAAGGTGGACACAGGAAGATGAGTTCAATGTTGGCCTCAATTACATAGTAAATAACTAGTCTAGAGAATAAGAAATCCTGACCCACAAAGCAAAACAAAGCCAGACATGATGGTCCATGCCTTAAATCCCACCACTTCACAGGCAGATCTCTGTAGGCAGGGATACATAGTGAGAAACTGTCTCAAAGGAAAGGGAACAAACAAAACACTACATTTTCTATTTTATGGGACAAGACAGTAACTTCGCACCAGAAATTTCAGAATTAATTGCCCCAAAACACCCTACTATTCATCAAACAGTATTAAATCCAATTACCAGGAACATTTTTAGAAGGCTTGTTAACTTTTTTTCCTAGTACATCATTCAAATTCTTAAGTTTCTTCTGATTTTTCTCTGGTTGTTTTATAGAAGTTGGACTTGAATCTATTAGTATTACAGAGTCCTAAGACAAAACAAGGAAGAAAAAAAAAACTTTAATACATTATTTTCCCTTTTCCATGGAGATTCCAATAAGCCATGAATTCCTAAGGCTCAGACGATTCTGAGCTTGGTTGTTTTCACACACATATCTGATAACACACTCTGCGACCACAACTTTCACAGATTGAAGTGTGACAGTGAAGCTGAAAGAATTCCCTTTTTCTTCATAATTTCACAGATAAAAGATTCTTTCTTACTACAGATCTTTGCAATGTTACCTTAGCATATATGTTTCTTTCTCTGTCTTTCTTTCTTTCATTGAATGGGTCATCTCACAATATATCCCTGGTTGTCCTGGAAATTGCTCAGCAGACCAGGCTAAGCTCAAACTCGCCTCTGTCTGGAGTGAGTGCTCTGGTTAAAGGCATGCACTACCATGCCCAGCTTCTTTACTTACTAATTGAAGGATTTCACCTTTTCCAGTACTTTGTTATGTATCCAGATTGCCAGCATTACTCTTCTTACACTATGGAGCCACTATCCAGCAAAATAAGAATGCTTGAACACAAGCACTGTTAATACTGCCTTGGTTGATCAGATAACTGAAGTAGCTACTAAATAACTAATGGGTAGGTAACATATGAAGCATGGATACACTGGAAAAAGGGTAATTGACATAGAAGGCTGGGTTGTAGCTCAGTTGGTAGTGGTCTCCCATATTATACCATACAATGTTTTATAAACTGACCAGAACAGAAAGTCTACAGAAATAGAAAGAGGATAAGTAGCTGTCACATGGAACAGTAAAGGGGAATGGTGTCTTCTTTGGAGATAACAGAAATAATCTATAAACTGGCATAGTGGCACATACAATCCCAGCTGAAGCAAAAGTGCGGTGAATTTGAGGGACCTTGGGCTACATAATAAGATCCTAGGGCTGGAGAGATGGCTCAGTGGTTAAGAGCATTGCCTCCTCTTCCAAAGGTCCTGAGTTTAATTCCCAGCAACCATATGGTGGCTCACAACCATCTGTAATAAGGTCTGGTGCCCTCTTCTGGCCTGCAGGCATACACACAGACAGAATATTGTATACATAATAAATAAATAAATACTAAAAAAAATATAAGGTCCTATTTTGCTGGGTGGTGGTGGTGCAGAGGCAGGCAGATCTCTGTAAATTTGAGGCCAGTCTACAGAGCAAGTGCCAGGACACCCAAAGCTACACAGAGAAACCTATCTTGAAAAACTATAAAAAAAAAAAAAAAAAAGACCCTGTTTCTAAGAACGAAAAAGTTGCTGGGTGGTGGTGGCACATGCCTTTAATCCCAGCACTTGGAAGGGCAGAGGCAAGTGGATCTCTACAAAGTGAGTTCCAGGACAGCCAGGGATGTTACACAGAGAAACCCTGTCTCGAGAAAATCAAAACCAAGGGCTGGAGAGATGGCTCAGAGGTTAAGAGCACTGCCTACTCTTCCAAAGGTCCTGAGTTCAATTCCCAGCAACCACATGGTGGCTCACAACCATCTGTAATGAGATCTAATGCTCTCTTATGACATGCAGGCAGAGTACTGAGAATACTGTATGCATAACAAATCTTTAAAAAAAAAAGTCAAAACCAAACCAAAACAACAACAAAAAAACCAAGAAAATTTTCTAAAATTGATTATAATAGAAGCACAACTCTAAATATATTCAAAGACACTAAACTGCATACGTTCTTTTTTTTTTTTTTTTTTTGAGACAGGGTCTCACATAGGTCAGGCTGCCTTCCAACTTATCACATAGTGTGAGGATGAGGATCACCCCCAAACTTCTGGTCCCTCTATTTTATGTACATAGTGCTACAATTCCAGGTATGCACCATAACACTTTCCATTTTGAATTGTACACTTAAATGGCCAACTGTACCTCATGTAAATTATATCTCAATAAAACTATTTAAAAATAGGAGGTAGTGGCTTTTAGCAGGATAGTAAAAATTGAGTAGAGAATTCTCAGATAGAAGACAGTACTTGGAATGTGAATTTCAAAGTGAGAAAAAATAAGAAGTAAGAGCTGAGCTCTCTGAGGAGAAATGAAATTCAGTGTGACTGTGGTAAAGAACTGCTTGAGCAATGGGAAGAATTGGTTCAGTGTACAGGACACCATGAGAGACCTGAAACTGGACTATATCCTGTAAGCCAAAGGCTTTTAAAGCAGAACATCCACCACGTCCAGGCTATCGAATGTGACCTTACGCCTCTGTAAAGGGCTCCTTCTCCCACTTCTAAAACAAAATAATAACACCTATATCAATAGACACTGGAATACTCACATCTGTCTCTGGTGACTTCTCCCTTTCAGGAGGTATCTGGTGCCGGGAGGACCGCCTCAAGGGCACCGTTTCTTCAGCCTTTGGTCCACTGACTCGGAAAGCTTTAGCTTTCTCAATCAGTTGTTTTGCTTTGGATACATTTTTTGAAGTACTGCTTGCCTAGGCAAAAATTTAGAATATTAATTGAGATTGCAGCAAGAATTTCATATTTGATAACAAAAAACCAGAAATATATAATAGAAAAAATTTATTTACATCACAATAACCAACCAAGAGCCAGACAATGGTGGCACACGCCTTTAATCCTAGTACTCAGAAGGCAGAAGCAGGCAGATCTCTGTAAGTTTGAGGCCAGCCTGGTCTACAGAGAGAGTTCCCGGACAGCCAACGCTACACGAAGAAACCCTGTCTCATAAAACCTAAAATAAAAAAGAACAGAGCTGGGGGCTAGGTGTGGTGCCGCACACCTATAATCTCAGCTCTTAGGAGGCAGATGCAGGTCAATGTAGATTTCTGTGAATTTGAAACCAACCTGGTCTATACCAGGAGACCCTGTTTCATAAAAGGGGTTAAGAACACATGGAGAGGCTAGAGAGATGGTTCAGTAGATAAAAGCACAGGTTTCTCAGCAGTTAAGAGCACTGGCTGCTCTCCTAGAGACCAGGGTTCAATTCCCAGCACCCATGTTGCTCACAACCATCCGTAACTCTGGTTCCAGGGGATCTAAGGTTTCTTCAAGTACTGCACACATGTTGTGCAGACACACAACCAGGCAAAACACACATACACAGAAAATAAAAATAAAGGAAATTAAAAAAAAACCCACACACATAGGGAGACTGAGGCAAGCCAATCACACATTCAATGCGTGCCTGTTTCCTATGATAAGAGTTCAAGGCCAGCTAAACAACTTATGAAGACTATGTCTTAAAATAAAGAAGTAAAAAGACAGGTGCTGGAGAGATGGCTCACTGGTTAAGAGTACTGCCTGCTCATCTAAAGGTCCTGAGTTCAATTTCCAGCAACCACATGGTGGCTCACAACCATCTGTAATGAGATCTGGTGCCCTCTTCTGGCCTGCAAGCATGAATATAGGCAGAATACTGTATACACAATAAATAAATAAATCTTTAAAAAAAAAAAAAGAAGTAAAAAGATACAGAGGATAAAGTTCAGGGGTAAAATACTTAACCTAGGATGTCTTACATATCTCAGCACTGTTCCCTTGATCCCCAAACAGACAAAGTTAATACAATAATACAATCCCATAGTATACACTATTAGTGTGTGTGCGTGTGTGTGCGCGCGTGTGTGCGCGCGTGTGTGTATCATTAGACTCAGGTCAGCAGGCTTCAGCCCACAGTGAGATTTTAACATCTTTATGAACTAGCAAGAACAGGGAATAAATGGCATAGGTTGTAGTTAATGACTTATAACAAGAGGAACCTTCTTTGGGAGGACTTGCAGTAAATATTGCTGGTCTTTTAAGAAAACAGTATCACCTCCAGGATTCCAGTACTTTTATTACCTTTCTCTTCTGAGAAGTGAGATCTCCCTCAGTTGTTTCAGATTTCTTAGATATTTTCTTAGACTTTTTCTTAGATTTTTTGGGAGTACTAATTCTAGTGAATTTCATTCTGGAACAAAAGACAAATATTTTCATAACAATGTACAAAAATGTTAAATATAAATACCAGTCATAATTCCAACTTAAAAAGAAAAAACAGCCGGACAGTGGTGGCACAGGCCTTTAATCCCAGCACTTGGGAATCAAGAGGCAGAACTTTCTGTGAATTCAAGGCCAGCCTTATCCACAGAGCTAGTTCCAGGACAGCTAGGGCTATACAGAGAAATCTTAATTGAAAAACAAAAGAAAAACAAAAAAGAAAAAACAATCACCATCAGTTTGATTAAACAGTAGGTCACAGTATTTTGTTTATTTCTGGTGCTGAGGATGGAACTATGTACATACTGAGCAACCATTCTACTACCTTGCTACATGGCCAGCCCCAAGGTTTATCAATTATTACTTCATTTGATAAGCCTAGCGGGAGTTGGTAGTGCATGCCTTTAATCGGAAAGCAGAAGCAGGAGGATCTCTGTGAGTTCCCGACCAGCCTTGTAAGTTCCAGGATAGCCAGGGCTTTTACACAGAGAAACTTTGTCTCAAAATAGAAGAGAAGAAAATATTAAGCCTAATCAAAACATTTTCAGGACTCCTCCCTGCTGTGGAGAGCTTATTTTTCAATAAAATCTTGCTTGCTTGCAAAAAAATAAAAACAATAAGTACTGCCAGGCAGTGGTGGCACACACCTTCAATCCCAGAACTTGAGAAGCAGAGGCAGGTGGATCTCTCAGTTTGAAGTCAGCCTGGTCTACAGAGTGAGTTTTAGGACAGCCAATGCTACAAAGAGAAACCCTGTCTTGAGAAAAACCAAAGGGAAAAAAACAAGTTTAAAAAAGAGTTTAAAGCTCATCTGAGCTGGGCAGAGGTGGTGCATGACTTTAATCCCAGCACACGGGAGGTAGAGGCAGGTAGATTTCTGTGAGTTTGAGGCCAGCTTGGTCTACAAGAGCCAGTCCCAGGACAAGTGCCAAAGTTACAGCAAAATCCTGTCTCGAAAAACAAAAACAACAACAAAAAAACTCATCTGAATGTTTCTGTAACTCCTCCGAAACAGACTTTCAATTAGCTGTATTAGGCAGGTGTGGCAGTACACACCAGCGATCCCAGCACTTGGAGGAGGATTGTGAGTCCTAGACTAACTCTGTATATAGCAAGAACATGTCTGGCCGGGCGGTGGTGGCGCACGCCTTTAATCCCAGCACTTGGGAGGCAGAGGCAGGCAGATCTTTGTGAGTTCGAGACCAGCCTGGTCTACAAGAGCTAGTTCCAGGACAGCCAGGACAGGCTCCAAAACCACAGAGAAACCCTGTCTCGAAAAAAACCAAAAAAAAAAAAAAAAAAAAAAAGAACATGTCTGAATAAATTAATTAATAAACCTGTGTGCAGTGGCTCACACTAGAAATTCCAGCACTCAGGAAGCTGGGGCAGGAGAATTGCCACAAGTATGAAAGCATTCTAGGCTACATACTGAGTTCCAGGTCAGCCTGGGATTCTTGAATAAGACCCTATCTCAAAACAAACAAAACAAAAGCCAGGTTTGGTGGCATAGGTCTGTCATCCCAGTTACTTGGGAGAGTACAGAAAGAGAGAACACGTCTAAGGCCTGGCTAAATAACAAGACCTGCCTGGGCAACCTAGGAGACCTCAAAATGAAACTAGGACAGAGATGTAGCTCAGTGGCAGACTACTCACCTAACCTATGAGGTTCAATCCTCAGGGTTCTATACACATTAAAAACAACAACAATAAAAAAAAAAACTATGTATAATCTATTCTAAAAAATAAATGAACTCTACAATGCTTGAAGAATTTTCCTTCCCAATTAATAATACATGTAGAATGTTCCAAACTGAGAAGAAAAACAAAACTTTACCTAATGGGGCTCTCCGAATCAGAGGGTATTGTTATTAATTCCGCTGTGTACAAGCTGTGCTTTTCTGACATGCTGGCTGCTTTTGGAGTGGAAGCCTTCACTGGACTAGTGTCCTGGCCATCCTCAGACTCAGTACCTCTAAGGGTGACTACGGTAGGCGTGCAGCTACCTCTTAGAGAGCTCCTGGTTCGTTTGGGTGTGGAAACGTTCAGCAGCCTGTTTTCAGGCTCAGCTTCGGAATGTGTAACCATATCCTGGATTGATGTGCTGGATTTTCTTGATTTATTTCTGTCACCCAGAGACATTTTTAGAGAGTTATGTGCTGTATCCTCACAAACAAGACTTTCACTATTAAGTAATGAATTGCTTTTGAAAACTTCTGACTTCTGTCTTAAACTCCTTCGAAGGCTATTTTGCTTTTGTTTATCTTTTGGGGAAAAGGATGTTTCTTCCTTTTGCATACTTTCTTCTCTGTTTCCACCTGGAGTGGGCCTAGTGCCAATCGTTTTCTTACCCCTTTTCTTCAGTTTTTTACTTTTCTCCTTAGGAAAACTTGCTTTATCAGTGTGTGTCTGTGAACTGCCAGGATTTGAAACTATTTGGATATTAAGATTTTCTATGACTTTTTCAGAACCATTATCACCTTCTTCATTTGCAAGTTTTTCATTTGGATCTTTCTGCTTCTCCAAAGGTTTCTTGAACCCATTTCTGAGCATTTCTGATGGTGGCTGCCTGAATGCTCTCATGAACTGCTGTCTCTCTTCCATGCTACACTTTGGTACTGAAGCCTCAGAGCTCCCGGCTTCCAGCACAGCCAGTTCTAATTGGCCCTCCTGGACAACAACATTTGATTTCCTTTTCTGAACTATCTGTTCATTTTCTGGATCAGAGCGGCTACTCTCCAGATCAAGCTGTTTCTGTTTCAAAAAAATTTGGGCTATTTTCCCTTTCTTTTTGGGGGGAGTGGGGTGAACTTGTGCAAGAACAGTAACTGTCTTAAGGTGTACCCGTGGAGAAAATTCACAACTTTCTGATTCACCTTCAGAACTACTTTTGACTGCTTCACCAGATCCAGAAGGAACACAAGCTGGCACTGCAGGGTCAGGTATCTCTTCCACTCTAGCTGCCTTTTGACTTTTTAAAAATTCCTCATAGGAGACTGTTATTGTAGTCTTGTTTAAATCCATCGTTTTGGTTGCACAAGCCCTGGAGTCTACATGATTTGCTGTCCTCTCATTTTCATTGGCCAGGGAAGGTTTACTCTCTTTGCCACCTTTCTTAAGCAGATTTATGTCGTCCGCCAAGGGTAAACTTTCAGACAGATCTAGTACCTTGCTGTGCTTCCTTTTTCTCAACATTTTGCCATCATTTTTTGTGGTACCTTTGTTAGGGTTGACTTTCTGGAAGTTTTTTTTGGAGGTAATTGTATTTGGTTGATTTCTCCTGTCTTGAAGGCTTTCTACAAGAACCTCTACATCTTTCTTATAAAGGAAAACATCAGCACTACTTTCCACAAAATCACTCAAACCACAGTCCTTCTTACTATCACTACTAATTCCAACCGGCGATTGAATTTTAATATCATTCAGTTGATGAGATAAATTAACTCTCTTTCTTTTCTTCTTAAATTCCGTATTTGAGAGCACTTCCAAAGGTGTCTTATGGTCTTTGCTATTGCCAATAAGCAATGAGGGAGATGGCTTTATCGTGCACTCCTTTGTCAACTGTAGCTTCTCATCTGTGGGTGAAGTCTTTCTAAAATAATGAAGAATATTACTGGGTTTTGGTGGAGAGAAAACTTTGTCTCCAGTCTTCTCTTTTGGTGATAAATATTTGGTGATTGTTTCACAGGAAGAGCTGTCATCATCTTTTCTCCGCTTTTTGCAAGGCTAGCAATTTAAAAAAAAGAAAAACACATTTATTTCAAGTAAAATAATATGAAATATGAACTGTAAACAGATTTAACAGTTTAAATAACTGGGCAGAAAAACTACAAAAGGCTGCTTTATTTGTGTATATACATGTGAGGTATGTGTGATGTACACACATATGTGTATACAAGGATGCATGCAGAGGCTGGAGAAAGATGTCAGGTGTCCTACTCTGTCACTTTCAGCCTTGCAATCCTCCTTTCTTTGCTTCCCCCTAATACTGAAGTTATAGGCCTATATGGCCATACCTGACTTGCTGAAGATTTGAACTTAGGTCATCTGTAATTTCACCTGTGCAATAACAGTTATGATAGCTTCCCATTAACATGCATTTTCATGTAATGTGTATATGTAATCTCATGATTGCATCTCAATCTTATGGGCACATATATCTGTGGGTGGTCAGGAAGATGACTTTTCATTTGGCTGTATAATTTTGATATATAGCATATATTAGGACATGCTTCATAACTCCATCTATTTGTCCCATGAGGACTATAGACATTTAAAAGCCTGCTTTGCTCTTTTGCTTAGACTAACTGCATACAATTAGCTCACTTTCAATTCAAAGCAAGTTCAAACTAGACTACAGGCTTTTTGTAAATAGATCATAACTTTAAAACCTTACAGCTATGCTCAAGGTCAGAGTCACAATGCCCAACCACGGTTACTACACAAAGCACCCTAAGAAAAGCATGCCAATTCTTCACTTGCCGGTATGTTAACAATAGACCTATGTCTCAAAGTTTGTCACTGGGCACTGTGCCTCCCTGTCTAGTTACAGTTTTATTCCTGAAACCCTTATGTTGCCATGGCAATGACTCAACTCCTAATCACTTACCCTAGGGATGTGCTTTTGGCCAAGTAGAGGTAACTCCTGTAATTTTTTTTTTTTTTATCTCTTCAAGGCTCCTATAAGAGTTTTGAGGCTAGAGGAAAGAAACTAAAAGAAGAAGCTAGGAGGAATTCAAAGTAAGACAGAAAAACTGGAGTAGAAGCAGAACAATAAAGAAACTGAGTCGGAAAAGCATGGCACATTCATCCTCAGCTATCCTTTGCTGTTTCCTCTCTGAACCTTGAGAGGGTCTTGGGGCTGGCCCTCGAAGGCTCTTGTTACACAGGGTAGGACCCCTACAAACAATCCATTCTGCTTTACTCTCTGGTAAAAATAAACACATCAGGCTGGAGAGATGGCTTAGTGGTTAAGAGCACTGGCTGCTCTTCCAAAGTCCTGAGTTCAATTCCCAGCAGCCACATGGTGGGTCACAACCATCAAGATCTGGTACCCTCTTCCAGCCTGCAGGCTTACATGCAAGCAGAACACTGTATACATAAGAAATAAATCTAAAAATAAAAAAACAAAACATCATTCCAAGTATCTCTAAGAAATATTTATTTAAGAAACCCAGGACCACCAAAAAACACTTGCCATAAGTCTACTGTTTTAATTTTCTACTATAAGTCACTGCCTGCAGTAGCCATCACCCTCACACAATCAAGATGCTATGACACTAAGGACAGTCAAGTTTGTGTTAGCCACTTGTAGTCAGCAGTGATACTTGCACCCAGGCAAGCTAAACAGAGATTACAATGAGTCCAGGTATGGTTGATGAAGACTAGACAAAGCACTGGCTGCTAGGAAGAGACAAAAGGCTCAAGGTAGGCAACCACGAACGAGATGATACTATCAAGGAAAACATAATTTTCATTGTCATAACTAGGGCTGGGGAGAATAACTGCGTAGGCATGCAGAAAACCCTAGATTTGGTTCCCACCATTAGGTAAAACCAAGCATGGTGGCATGTGCCCGCAATCACAGCACTGAGGAGATAGAGGCAGGAGCATCAGAAGCTCATGGTGAATTTAGTGAGTTTGAAGACAGTCAAGGCTACATGAGACACTGTTTGGAAAAAAAAAATCAATGTCATAACTGGAAAAAATAATCAACTTCTAAAAGCAGACTCTACTTGAACATGGACTGACATAGATTTAACACTGCTCTCTATATCCTTAGAGCAAACAGACTTTTGATGCATCTTGGGTATGACTGGGACTCATCTGGCTGCTGGCTCACTAACAATAATGGTCCCATTACTGGCTGTACAAGGATTTTCTAAAGGTTTCATTGGTTTACCTTAGAGTACAGGGGATATGAATTGTGAAACCTATTAGGGAGCACGGGGAAAACTAACTGGTCTGATTGTCTATGATCTATATTTGTTTTCTTGACTATGTGTGAATGGTATGAAACAACCTTGCTACTAGAGCAAGGAAATACCTTACTGTTCTGAATTTACTAGATCAGAATGACTAAACATATCATTAGAAGGACATTATTTCTCATTTTGTTTCTATGTGTATTGTAGGCGTTAACTATAAACAAGAGCTGGATATGGTAACTCATACCTATAGTTCCAGTACCTTGGAAGCTGAGGCAGGAGGACTTCAGCAAACAGAAAAACCTCCAAGGTTGCACACTGTTCAGGCCAGCCTGGGCTACAGGATGAGAACTCACAGAAACAAGTCTTAAAGTACTTATAAAGTACTTTAAAGTCTTAAAGTACTTATAAAGACCCTTAAACCTGCCCTAGAAATCCACTAAATTAAGAAGATACGTTGTGGTGGATTGAATAACAATGACCCTACAGGCTCATATATTTGAATTCTTTGGAGAAAGTGTGTCACTGGGGGTAGGCCTTGAGATTTCTTTTTTTTTTTTAATATTTATTTATTTATTATGCATACAATATTCTGTCTGTGTGTATGTCTGCAGGCCAGAAGAGGGCACCAGACCTCATTACAGATGGTTGTGAGCCACCATGTGGTTGCCAGGAATTGAACTCAGAACCTCTGGAAGAGCAGGCAATGCTCTTAACCACTGAGCCATCTCTCCAGCCCAGGCCTTGAGATTTCAAAAGCCCATGCCAGGCCCAGTCTCTTTCTCTCTTGACCTGCAGATCAGGATGTAGCTCTCAGTTACTGCTCCAAGCACCAGGAGAATTGCTATGCTCCCTGCCATGACAATGGACTAAACCTCTGAAACTGTAAACGATACCCAATGAAATGTTTTCTTTTTTAAGTTGCCTTGGTCCCAGTGTCTCTTTACACAACAAGAAAACAGTGACTATAACATATGTATATAAAAGCAAAATGATGAAAATGAGTTTATAAATATATCACTAACTTGCATAACTGAAAATGCATACTACTATATTGGTTGCAAAATAATTATTGACTGGGCATGGCCACATATACCTTTAATCCCAGCATTCAGGAGACAGAGAAAGGCAGATGTCTCTGAGATTGAGGCCAGCCTAGTCTATATAAGGCTGTCTCAAAAACAAACAACTCCATTAGTTTCCATACACATCCCACTCACTCCCTGTGGTACAAGCACTCTGCCAATTGAGCTACTGTTTCAGCCCTCAACATTTTCTGTCTTTTGCTTCACTGAACCCCAAGTCTTACAATATTAAAAATTTACCCCTGAGCTATATTACCATCCTACTATCAATCTAACTTCTCAGTTTATTTGATAAAATATCCGCCAAAATAACAAAAACATTATTTTTAAGGACAAGTAACAAGGATTTTATTTTGAGAAAATTCAAATGAATTAACAAAGCTACCATGGTTAAAAGCATAGTACGATGCTGCATGAGTAGGCAAGAAGCTCAATGAAGTGTGTCTGAAAAGCAGAACCAGACAAGGGGACCCTTGACACGGCTCAGCAGGCAAAGGTAGGTGCCACCAAGCTCGATGACCTTGTTCAATTCCCAGGATCATGATAAAAAGGGAGGTCCTCTTCCCACAAGTTGCCCTCTGACCTTCACATATATGCTGACCCTTGCATATACAATAAATTTAAAAACATAGCAAATAATTTTTTAAAAGAACTTGTTAAGTGGTAAAAGTAACATTCAAATTAACAGGCAAAAGAGTAAGAGGTGACAGTGGGACAAATTCTGGCCAATTAGATAAATGACATAAAATACAAGCAATACTATACATGTTGAAATAACAAATGAGATCTATTATTATTTTCTATAAAGGTTTTTTTCTTTTTTTTTTTTTTTTTGGTTTTTGAGACAGGGTTTCTCTGTGGTTTTGGAGCCTGTCCTGGAACTAGCTCTTGTAGACCAGGCTGGTCTCGAACTCACAGAGATCCGCCTGCCTCTGCCTCCCGAGTGCTGGGATTAAAGGCGTGCGCCACCACCGCCCGGCTCTATAAAGTTTTGATGTGGTTTCAGAGGCATCACACAACAGACACTCAAGTCAGATCTAAGATCAAGTACCAGTCCTGACATCTACTAGTATAGAAATCTTAAATTACCTTTTTAAAACTGTGACTTAAGCTGGGCAGTGGTGGCACATGTCTTTAATCCCAGCACTTGGGAGGCAGAAGTAGGTGGATCTCTGTGAGTTTGAGGCCAGCCTGGTCTACAAACTGAGTTCCAGGACAGCCAGGGCTGTTACAGAGAAACCCTGTCTCAAAACCACTACCCCCCACCCCACAAAACCCTGTATCAAACAAACAAAACTAATTTGGCCTACTTTTCAATTATTTTGTTTGTTTTTGAAACAGTGTCTCTCTACATAGCCCTGGTTGTCCTAGAACTTGATATGCAGACCAGGCTTGCCTCAGACTCACAAAGATCTACTGGTTCCTGGATCTTAAAGGTGTGTGCCACTAAGCTCAGATGTAAGATTTTCCCATAGATCAGGTATGGTGGCCCACAAATTTTTGAAATCTTATTTATCTATTATTATTATTATTTGGAGTCTAAAAGTCTCACTGTTGGTCTGTCCTGGAACTCAATCATGTTTCACAGAAATAATAATACCTTATCACAGGGTTATTATGCAAAGATATGTAAAAAGCCCTTACCACATTAAAGAGTAAATACCACTATTAAAAAGTAGACTTTCTTTTTTTTAAATATTTATTTATGTATTATGTATACAGTATTCTGTCTGTGTGTATGTCTGCAGGCCAGAAATGGGCACCAGATCTTATTACAGATGGTTGTAAGCCCCCATGTGGTTGCCGGGAATTGAACTCAGGACCTTTGGAAGTGCAGGCAATGCTCTTAACCACTGAGCCATCTCTCCGGCCCCAAAAAGTAGACTTTCTAAGACGGGTACCAAAAGCAGAAACCATAAGCCAAAGACTGATAAAACTGACCATCACAAAATCAAATTCAATACCCAAAGTCCTTTACACCTGAGACAAGCTAAATAATTCCCTTGACTTAGCAAAAAATAAAAAATAGAAAATCTGCAGTCAAAAACAGTTACTTGATTATAAAAATTAAGAGTTAGAATTTTTGAACTAATTAAAGAGAAAAACGACAGGGGATTAATTTTACAGAACTTTGTTTTACTCTCTATTTTTTTCATTTTCCGTTCTTGTTTGTTCCCCTTGGTTTGACGTGTCTCTGTGAGTAGGATTGATCCCAACAGAGCTGTGACAACAGAGAAGCACGAAAACCAGCAACTTCCCCTGGAAAGGAGCATGGCTGAGGATAACCAGGGCACAGTAGTGACTGAAGAGCTGTAGAAAGTAGAAATATTCGTGCGATGGGGCTGGAGGGATGGCTCAGGGGTTAAGAGTACTTTCTGCTCTTCCAGAGGACCCTAGTTCAAGTCTCAGCAACCACATGGCAGATTGAAAAACAAAAACAACAGCAAAAAAGAGAATTTAAGTGAACACACATCTTAGGTCGCTTCAAAGGCAGCAGACACATTCATTAGAACGCTAGTGTGAGATATGGTGTATAAAAACCATGGCAGCTACAGAGGCACAAGCCTGTAATTCCAGCACTCGCAAAGTGGTGACAAGAGATAAGTAGGTCCGAATCCAGCTTGGGTATTTCTGTATCTACATATAGATACCAGCCATATACTATAAGCTCCTAACCACCTTTTTGGGGGACAGGGTTTCTCTGTGTAACAGTCCTAGCTGTCCTGGAACTAGCTCTGTAGCTGGCCTCGAACTCACAGAGATCCAGCTGCCTCTGCCTCCGAGAACTGGGATTAAAGGAGTGCACCACCACCGCCCAGCTCTCTTAACTCTTAATGGCATAGAATATCATTATGGTTGCTTAGTATATTTTTCTTTCTTTCTGGAAACCAGGGCTTCCCATATTAAGCACTCTCCCAGCTTAGTGTATTCTCTGAAACACGGTAAATACAGAATGTGTCACAAAGACTCTTAACTCAAGTACCCCGCTTGATTCTTAAATGACATTCTAAGTGGAATTCCTAGGACAGGTATTTGTACGGACTAACTGAATTTAAAGCTCTTATCTTTTTCGCCGTTCTATGATTCCACATCACGAACAAAGAACTTGAATCTGAGATCCTTGATGACATCTCATTCCACCAATGTTTCAGGACCCGGGAACTGTGGTTTTTAAACCCTGATCCTACACCGAGTCTGAAGTTTTCTTTAAAATTCCAGTGTGAGGGCTTAGCACGACACCCCGAGACAACCATCCCACACCAAATTGGAGCTGTGGATCATCACATCACTCACTCCTTTCTCCATCCCAGAAGCAAGCAGGACTCCCACCACCCCCACGCCACTATTCCCCAACGCAGGCAGAAAGAAACTTGACAGATCTTCCCTCTCACCTCAATCTCGTAGTCCTTTACTGGAGGAGGAGCTGCAGCCGCCGACATGGCCAGGACCCCCACCATGATCCCTGCCTCCCAGAGCCCCAGATCCTAGGACCTCCAGCGGTCCGGCGCTGCCTGACTGGAGGCCATAGAGACGGCCGGTCCAGTGGGAGCAAGATGAGGGGGCCGCGGGGGCCGCCACGGGTCCCCCAGAGCCCACCAGCCGGACCCGAGTGAGAGGATGGGCCCAGGGCCGTCGAGCCAGGCTCAGAGACGGCGAGAAAGCGCGGGTGCAGGCCCCGCGCGAGCGGCTGCACAGTACACAGTGCCCCCGAGATAGGCGCTCCAGGCTCAGCGTTGGAGCTCCGGGCCCCGGTGGGCGCCACACACCGAACGCTGCTCAGGCCTCGGGGCTTCGGCGGGAGTTCTTGTCAATTGGGTTTTCGCGCCGTCCGGAGAGCAGGGGGCGGAGCCACTGACTGCTTCTGGAGGCGGTGTCTACGGTGAGCCACGAAGACCAAACTAGTTCGTTTAGCGATTCAGCAGCTGACAGAGCCTCTTATCTCCCGGAGTCCTAGTGGAATTTTGGAGATTCACAATTAGGTGGCCAAGATTGACCATTGAGGACGTGATTTGTCTAAAGTTACCAAGTCATTTGGTGGCAGAATTAAGACTTAGACTTTAGCCATTCCAAAAATTATATTTTTGAAGCCCGGAAGTTGTGGTGCACACCACAGTACAGCATGTTCTACATAGAGAGCTCCTGTTCAGCCAAGATTTTCTGTCAAATAAATAAGTAAGTAAATAGATAGATAAAGAAAGAAATGAATGGATGGGTAGATAGGTAGGTAGGTAGGTAAGTAGATAAATAAATAAATAAATAATAAATAAATAAATAAATAAACAAACTAGGAAGAGGTAGAAAAGCCGGGTGGTGGTAGCGAATGCACGACTTTAGTCTCAGCACTTGGAAGGAAGAGGCAGGCAGATCTCTGAATTCAAGGACAGCCTGGTCTACAGAGTGAGTTCCAGGACAACCAGGGATACACAGAGAAACCCTGTCTCAAAAAAAAAATTATTTTATTTTATGTGTATACAAACATGTGTGTACCTGGTTCCTATGGAGTCCAGAAGAGGACATGGAATCCCCTGAAACTGGGGATACAGGCAGTTTTAAGCCACCATGTTGGTGCTCGAAACCAAACCCAGGTCCTCTGCAAGAGCAACAAGAACTCTCCACAACCTAGTCACCTCTCTAGTCCCTGAGCTACATACCCAGCCCATGATTTAACCATTGTAAAAAGTACTCGTAAACCGCTGGGACCGTGGTTAAAGGTTTAACAGCTCTATAAGATCACCCGTGACAGCACTTCTCCTTTCACGCTTTCATCAGAGAGGTTAGCAAACACACTGTGGCATAACCATGGCTTAACCATACAGTGGAACCCTCAGCATAGAAGGAAACGAGGGCTGGGGGGTAGCTTATTGGAAAAGTACCTACCATTCACGAGGTGGTGTGATCAAACCTAAACACTGCCAAAAAGTAAGACTAGATCAATAAAAACCCAAGCATGGGGGGCGGGGGGGGCTAAAGAGATGGCTGAGCAGCTAAGGGCACCAGCTTCTTTTACAGAAGACCCAAATTCAATTACTAGCACCCACATGTCAGCTCATAACTGTCTATAACTCCAGTTCTAAAAGATCCATCATCCTTTTCTGGTCTGTGGGGCACCAAACAAACAAACAGTGAAGAGAAATATTTTCAGGCAAAGCATTTGCTCATATAAAATAAAAATAAATAAATTTTATACACAAAAGTGAAAACAATCATAGGGCAGGAGAGATAGCTCAGTGGTTAGGAGTGCACACTGCAAGATCTAGCTCCAGGAGAGGCTTCAAAGGTACAGAGAAACCCTGTCTCGAACTCCTCCCCCCCCAAAAAAAGAAAAAAAAAGAGGGCACACTGCTCCTGCAGAGGACATAAGTTTGGTTGCCAGCACCTAAGTCTGGAAGCTCACAACAACCTGTAACTCCAGCTCCAGGGGTTCCGAGCTCTCTTCTGAATTTCATAGGCACTCACTTACATACACAAGTCCATACTCAGACACACAGCTATTCACATAATTTAAAAATAAATAAACTTAGCCGGGCAGTGGTGGAGCATGCCTTTAATCTCAGCACTCAGGAGGCAGAGGGAGGCAGATCTCTGTGAATTCGAGGTCAGCCCCGGTCTACAGAGTGAGTTCCGGAACACCTAGGGCCGTTACACAGAGAAAACCCTGTCTCAAAATAAATAAATAAATATTTTTAAATCTATTTATTTTTATTGTATGATTGTTCAACATGTGTGTAACTGGTCCCCATGGAAGTCATAAGAGGCCATCAGATCCCTTGGAATTGAAGTTAGAGATAACTATGAACCTATGAGCTGGGACTTGAACCAGGGTCCTCTGCAAGAGTGGCCAGTGCTCTTAGCCATTGAGCCATTTCTCCAGCCCCCTAAAAAATAATAACATTGAAACAAAACTAAACCCCCAAGAGGTAAGTACAATAGCACACACCTGCAATCTCATCACTTGGGAAGCTGAGGTAAGATGAGCTAGCCTGGGCTAAATCATGACTGCCAGATCTGCCAGGGGTGCATAGCAAAATTCTGTCTAGTAATAATAAAGACGACTAGTAATACATGAACAACATAGATGAACCTCAGAACCTTTCTTATGGAGCCGAGAATGGCGGTGCGTAGCTCTAGTTTCAGCTAGTTTAGAGATGAAAGCAGAAGTGCTAGAGCTCACAAATTCAAGGTGAGCCTGAGTAACATAGTGAGATGTATTCACCCTGTCTCGAACCATTTAATTTAATTTTATGTGTGTGGGTGTGTTGCCTGCACCAGTGTCTGTGAACCACGTGTACGTTTGGTGCCTGTGAAGGTCAGAAGAAGGTGTGAGTTAGGTCCCCTGGGACTGGAGTTGCAGAAAGTTGTGACCCACCATGTGGATGCTAGGAATCAACCCAGGTCCTCTGGAAGAGCAGCCAGTGCTCTTAAGCCTTGAGCCATCTCTCCAGCTCCTACTTGCATGTTTTAAAAGAAAGCTGAACTAGTCATGACGGCACTCCCCGTAGTACCAGCTTTTGAAGGTAGAAGCAGAAGTTCTAGGACATCCTCACGTATACATTGAGTACAATACCAGCCTGGGCTGAACTACAAATGAAATTAAAAGCTGAACAACAACAGTAATAGTAATAAGTGACTATTTAAAACCTGACAATGGGGATTGGACAGTGGTGGCACGCATCTTTAAATCCAGCACTCAGCAGGCAGTGGCAGGCTGATCTCTGTGAGTTCGAGGCCAGCCTGGTCTAGGAGTTCCAGGCCAGCTAGATGTTTGTGAGTTTCAAACTAGCCTGTCTACAGAGTGAGTTCAAGGACAGTCAGAGCAACACAAAGAAACCCTGTTGGGGCTGGAGAGACGGCTCAGCCGTTAGGAGCACTGGCTGTTTTTCCAGAGGACCTGAGTTCAATTCCCAGCAACCACATGGTGGCTCACAACCATCTGTAATGAGATCTGGCGCCCTCGTCTGCCATGCAGGTATACATGCAGACAGAACACTGTGTACGTAATAAATAAATAAATCTTTAAAAAAAAGAAAGAAAGAAAGTAAGAAACCCTGTTTCCATAAAAAAGGAGTTCAAGGCCCAAGCAGGGCAGGGGGGGCACACACTTTTTTTTTTTTTTTTTTTTTTTTTTTTTTTTTTTGGTTTTTTCGAGACAGGGTTTCTCTGTAGCTTTGGAGCCTGTCCTGGAACTAGCTCTGTAGACCAGGCTGGTCTCGAACTCACAGAGATCCGCCTGCCTCTGCCTCCCGAGTGCTGGGATTAAAGGCGTGCGCCACCACCGCCCGGCTCGGGGCACACACTTTTAATCCCAACACTCAGGAAGCAGAGACAGGTGGAGCTCTGTGTTCAAGGCTAGTCCGGTCTACACAGAAAGTTCCAGGTGAACCAGGGTTAAGCGTAAAAACCCTTTCTTAAAAAAAAAAAAAAGTTGCCGGGTGGTGGTGGCGCACGCCTTTAATCCCAGCACTCCGGAGGCAGAGGCAGGCGGATCTCTGTGAGTTCGAGGTCAGCCTGGTCTACAAGAGCTAGTGCCAGGACAAGCTCCAAAGCTACAGAGAAACCCTGTCTCGAAAAACTAAAAAAAAAAAAAAGTTTACAGAGAAACCCTGTCTCGAAAAAAAAAAAAAAGTTTAAGGCTCAGGCTGAATGAGACAAGTAGGGTGCCCCTGTGTCAGAACACTGAGGGCTGAGGAGATAGTTCAGGGACAGAATGTTTGCCAGTCATGCATAAGGTCTTGGATCCAGTCTCCAGCATTGTAAAAAGTGATGAAATAAATTTAAAAATTAAAGAATTAGTTTATTTTGATTTTATGTTTGTGTGCATGTTTTGCCTGCATGCCTATATATGCACCACACGTGTGCGTGATTCCTGAGGAGATCAGAAAAGGGTGTTGGATTTCATAATTGGAACTGGATTTACAGAAGGTGGTGAGAGACCATGTGGGTGCTGGGAATCAAAGCTGGACTATCTGTAAGAGCAACAAGTACTCTTTGGTTTTTCAAGACAGAGTTTCTCTGTGCAGCCCTGGCTGTCTTGGAACTCACTCTGTAGACCAGGCTGGCCTGGAACTTATAGAGATCCGCCTGCCTCTGCCTCCCGAGTGCTGGGATTAAAAGCTTGCACCACCATGCCCAGCTTGAGAACCAGCTCTTAATTTGTACCGGTCATCATCTCCTTCAAGCTAATATCTCCCATTATCTTCCATGGTACACTTCCATCATCCACCCATCCATCCCTGAAATAGTATCCCACGCTGGCTCCAGGCCAGCTGTCAACAAGGCATATGTGAGCAAACAGATGAAAACCGCCATCTTCTTAGAGTTTATATACTAGTTGTAGGATACCGTAATTAAAGTGACAATAAAGTATATGGTGTGTTATGTAAGGACAACCGTAGAAGAGAAGGTAGTGATGGAAGTGGGGTAAGGGAAGGGCAGGTTTCACTCAGCAGGGAAAGGCATTTGCTGCCAAGCCTGATGACCAGAGCTCAGTCCCTGGAATTCACACAGTGAAAGGAGAGAACTAGAGAGCTGACTCCCACGGGTTGTCCTCTGACTGCTGCACACAAGGCACGCATGCACGGCTCCTCCGCACAGGCAAACTAACTCAACATTAAAAGGGTGTGATGGTGGGGGGAATGGAGCGGTGGCTCAGCTGTTAAGAATGCTAGCTCTTGCCGGGCGTTGGTGGCGCATGCCTTTAATCCCAGCACTCGGGAGGCAGAGGCAGGTGGATCTCTGTGAGTTCGAGGCCAGCCTGGTCTACAAGAGCTAGTTCCAGGATAGAAACCAAAAGCTACGGAGAAA